TTTCAGCATATATGCAACACTGTAAACACATTTCAAGGAAAACCGATAGGCCTGTTGTCATGAAACTCATAGGAGTAATCGATCTTATTATAACGCAGGTCAAGTTCCTGCATCTTTACAACATTATTAGTTGATTATGTAAAAATGATGGTAAACTTGTTATCGTGTATTGTGTAATAAAGTTTCAAAAATGGAAATAAACTCATATCATTGCAGTTTGTCAGATTCAATCATTAAAATTTGATGTTGAATTTGCAGTTTAACATAATGTACTTTTGCATCAGAATTGACAGTAGCCTATTTTGTGCATAGTTATTTCCTGTTTTTTGTCTGTACATTTGACAGCTTTGCTGCCTTGTTCTTTTGTGAGTTCTGAATCTATTTACACAATTTGTTGGGATGTGACATTGTGTTAGGAATGTCATTGTGTTAGATGCGCCATTGTGTTAGGTATCCCATTGTGTTAGATGTGACATTGTGTTTTCCTCCCTCAGCTGTACCCACAGCTGGAGGCACTGTGTCCTGGACAGTTTGGTACGTGGTCTGCCTACACCAAGAGATACTGTGATGCCCACATGAAGTTCTTTGGAAACCGTGGTAGACAGTGGTACACAGGGTGAGTGTCACTGATAGACAATGGAGAAGTACAGTGATCACTGAAACCTGGGTCTTTATTTTTGAATAAGCCAAATTATTTAATAATGAGATATAAAAATGTTCATAGAAATGATTCATGGTTTTCACAGTTTTTCATTTTCAGTAAAAAAAAAAAAAAGAAAAAAAAAAAAACAAACTTACTTGAACCAAACTGGCATTTCAGAAAATTTTTGATTTAATTATATTTTTTAGTCATTTTTAACAATTGGTTAAATCCTTTTTCGGAAAAGCTAGTAAATTGTGCATTATAGATGACAGATATATGGTACACAGTGGTAATTTTAGTAAATAGGGAAGATCAGATTAATAGGAAATGTATTATATTTTGTTGTAACATTTCTCTTCCTTATTGTTCATTGTAGAGGTGCTAGTAATCTCCCTGAGCTGGAGCGTAGGCTGAAGGAGACTGTCATGATACGCAGGCTGAAGAAAGATGTCCTGACACAACTCCCACCTAAAACCAGACAGAGGATACCCTTCCAGCTTAAACCCTCTGATTATAAAAAGGTAAGACACATCTTTCACCTTAAACCGGGTAGAGGATACCCTTTCAGCTTATAAAAAGGTAAGTCAACTGGTGTATTTAGACACAGCTCAATCTCTACTTTTTAATGTACCCAATTTCACTGTAAATGTCTATAATAATGTTTCAATATTCTATATATTAGGACATAGAGAAGCTCCAGAGTAAAGCAGACAGGTTATTGGATGGCAGACCCCAGGGACTACAGGAGGTGATGATGAACGGGGAGATGGCAGAACAAGGAGACAGCAGGTTCCAGATAATGAAGCTGGTCTCAGAACTGTATGTGGCCACGGGGAAGGCTAAAGTAAGGAGTTTGACAGTACTGTACAGTAATGAGAGTTCTTCATTTTAAAGCTCAGACAAGATTTTACTCCTATTTAATTTGGAAGCTTTTGTTTTCTTGGTGGTTTTCCACCTTTGACCTTTACCAGCCCCAGACCCCTAGTTGTTATGTCAACAAACCATTCCTTCCTCTTATCTTACAACCCAAAAATTGAGTGTAAATTTTTCCACGAGAGAGGAATTTTTGCGTGGCCTTGATTTTGCTACAGGCTAAAGGTCATCTTTGGATGTGTTTTTCTTTTAGCCAAATACCTGGATAAATTAATACTGATTTAAGATTAGAACTAGGCTATTGATGAAATTGGAAAAAATATTGCTGTTTCTTTAGATTAATAGGATGACATCTAACACACTGCTAAATCAATCTGTGCTACAGAAAGTGACACAGATAATGTATTGATATTATGACATCTAATAAAAAAATTTTAATTTCCTGTTTCTCTAGGTTGGGCCAGCCAAAGAATACATCAAAATGCTGTGTGAGAATGACCAGTTAAAGTTCCTGGTGTTTGCCTATCATCAGGACATGCTGAACGGGTTGCAGGAGACCCTGCACGATCTGGACATTAAGTTCATCAGGATAGATGGCAATGTGCCGCCCAAGGAGAGAGGGGTGCGTGAAAAGAATAGGTTGCAACCAACGTAATTAATTTTTTTCTTCTGTTTTTGCAAATATCACAATTTTTGTCCGTATTTAGAGGAGTTTAGAAAGTTACTGGGTTTGTTGTGAAATGTTCAGAAAATTGGGAAACTTAAAAGGGCAAGAGGGTTTTCTTCTTTCAGCGTCCCCTTTGTCATCCCTATTGGGGGAATCGAATTTTTTGCTGTGGTTTATATATTTTAATTTAATAGTGTTGCACAAATTTTTTTAAATTTCAGATGCTCGTGGATACCTTTCAGAAAGATGCGAATACCAGAGTTGCTCTCCTTAGCATTACAGCTGCTGGGGTGGTAAGTTACCAGTTCATAGACGGATAAAAAAAAAATTACAGGAATCAAATTCCGTTCTTTGTGACCTTCGTCTGTTATTCAGAGTGAAATCTGTGAGATTTTTAGAATAGCAACCCCTCCCTTCCCTTCCCACTATTTCCCAAAAAAGAAACTAGTTTCTGTTTATACAGGGTGAAATTCTGACACTTTGGTTGTTTGCTGTTGTTTTACTGTAAGAAAAGTGGCCTCTGTTATTCCAGGGCCCAACTCTACGAACTGACTGCTTTCTGTATTCTTCTCATAAATGCGGTCTGTAATATTCCAGGGCCTGACTCTGACGGCGGCCAGCTTGGTTGTGTTTGCTGAGCTATACTGGACGCCAGGTACTCTGGAGCAATGTGAGGACAGGGCTCACAGGATTGGTCAACAGAACCGGGTCAATGTCCACTACCTGGTGGCCAAGGGGACAATGGACGAATGGATGTGGAGCATGATAAACAGGAAGGTATATCCTGGTGCCTTGATATTTTATTTGAACAGAGCCATGTCCTCCTGATGTTCCTCATTTAGAAAATATGAGACTACGTATACAGTTTAATGTAATTAATATCAATATCAGAATTAGCAAGCTGGGCATTAAATGCTCAGATAAAATGGTATCATAAATGATAATGAATTATTTAACTATTCAAGTTTACAATGATATTTCTGTATAATACTACAAAAAATTTGAAAGGTAGACAACTAGCTCTTGAGATATAAGGAACAAAACTTTTGTTTATCTATTCACAAGACAACTGTTGTGACAGCCACGCTGAATGGAAAGGTGCAGACATTGAAGGCAGACGTCACCTATGGTGTCCACACTGACCTGCTATCTAGTGCCGAGGCTTGGAAACCATCAGAAGGAGATGAAGATGTCAGCATGATGTTTTCACAGGTGAAGGAGTGTTTCATTTCTATCAACCATCCGGATGTTAAATGTCTTTTGGAAATCTACTTGTCAGTGTTAAGTGTGCTTCTTCCTTAAATTGGTAAAATTTCACTGTATTTTAAGACTAAGAGAGTATGCCAAGTGAACATTTTCTTGGTGATCATTCACCTAGATCTTTATCACATAGGTCTGAAAAGAAAGTTTTTATTTGTTATTTGACATTGGAAGCATGTCGCATTTTAATCATTTAAATGTTCATTGTAGTTGCCACATAAGTTTTCTGATCTTTCCCTTCCTCTTTTGACACTTTAGCCAAGCAACCAGAGGTCCATACTTGATTTTCTGACTCCAAACGGTAACAGAAAAAAACAGCTGAAGAGAAAACAAATGTCACTCCTTAAACATGAAAATGGCCAAAATCCCACACCTGCTAAAAAGCACAAGGGAAAGAAACTGGAGGTCATACCTGTTGAACCTGATGATGACTCAGCAGATATGATAGTGATGTCAGATGAAGACCTACCAAACATTGATTTGAAATGTGAAAAGAAAATGGTGCTGCAAGAAAAAAGGCCATGCTTTGACAGATTAGATGTTTCTGTATTTGATGATTCAGACAGTTTTGAAAATGAGGTCAAAGGTAAAAACCTTGCCAAGTTAGGGAATAAGACCAAGGTTAAAGAAAATCTCAAGCCCAGGAGAAAAACAGTTGCTGATGAGGAAGACATGATAATCTTGGATGAAGTAAAAGAGGACAAACTGATTTCAGGAATACCTCAGCGTAAAAATGAAAAGTCAAGAAAAACACCTCATTCTGAAGAAATGACAAGATCAAGTGTAACAGAAATTAATGCAGACAACAATTGCACATTGAAAGTGGATGAAAGATTAAGTATTTCCAGTGGATCTAACGAAAAAAGTCACCCAAATGCTCTAGACAATGCACCATTAGATAGTGCCAGTAGCAAAGGTACGTCATCACCAAAAGAAGGCAGCAGGAAACAGAGTATGATTCCACCAGTTGGCAGCACCAGGGTGGACAGGTGGGCTTGTCACGTATGCACCTTGGTGAATGAACCACTCCATCTGTGCTGTAGAGTTTGTGGAACCCCAAGACAGACCCAGTCCAAGGTCCAGTCTCATGGTGAATATGCCAAAGTGAATTCTGCCTCAGAGACTTCTATCGATGGAAAACAGGAACCTAGTGAAGAGGCAGAAGGGGATGCTGATGTCTGGAGATGTGTCATGTGTACCTATGACAACCAGTCATGTGATCAGAAATGTTCCATCTGTCTTACTCCTGGGGGAAAGTCTAGGAGGAAAACTAGGAAGAATGGTGCTCCATCCAAAACTGTGTCAGAGGTGCAGACAGCACCAAGAGAACCACCTTCTAATAATGTGTCTGCTGTGGATTTTTTAGAAACTGGTGCTGTGGAATCACAAAGCAATACTGATATTAACAGTGTAAAGAGTGGTGCTTTATTGAAGCAGTTTGACATTGCAGACGATGGTGCTGTTCATGAGAATCTCCAAGTGGAAAATTCTTCACACGATTGTGCCAAAGATGATAAAAACGATGTGCCAAACTTTGATCTGTGTGACGACGATAATGACGACATGTTCACCATTGATGAATATCAGAGTGACAAGGAAGAAAAAGAAAAGCAAGAACGAGGATCAGAGCAAGATGAAAACTGTGGTGACAGGACACTTGATGAGAGTATCAATTCAATTGAAAGTGCTGATGGGGGAACTACTTGTGATGATGTTGAACATGACCATAGTCACTGGTATGAGGATATTGATGATGCACAAATGATACAGGCTGAAGGTACTAATTCTCTCTCTCTCTCTCTCTCTCTCTCTCTCTCTCTCTCTCTCCTGTCAATTCACCAACAAATTCACTTATCAAATAACATCAAACAATTTTTGATAAAAATCTGCAACATGTTTTTATATAATACACATAATTATACCCATATATTGTTAAGGTTATCTGTACAAATATATCGGTTTTACTTAAAATAAAAAAAGGATTAATCATTTATATTTCACTTTGCAGAAGAAGTTACTCAAACCAGCCCAGAGGTCAAGCCCAGAGTTGTCAACTTGGATGACATTCCAGTGTATGACCTCTTCATGTACAGTTGTAGCAGGAACACCAACAGAGTATACCTTCATGATAAGGTAAAATACATGACTTACAATGGTCAGACTTGCCAAGTTTAAGGTTCAGCATGTGATATCATGGTGAAAAAGATATACTGATCATCTGCATTGTTTGAAAAGGTGAAAAATATGTCAGTCTGTTATTACACGTGAATGCTGTGTGGGCAATTTTAGAGCTGGTCTTGGTCTGACAAAAATTATCCTCCTCACCTTACTGATACCCAGACTTGCCTAGTTAAATCATGGGAAAAGGTTGCAGTTCTTTGAAGCCCTCTTAATTTTTCTATATCTTTTATACAGTTTCAAGTGTCACCTTTTTACACACATTTCATTTGGTTGTTTCAGCATGGCGCCCCACTCCATACCAATTTCCTGCCAAGTGATGTCCTGTCTGCCAACATGGAGGACTTACCAGATCTTCTCCTCCATCCACAGAACCTGAAGCTGGTGAAGAGGTTTGCCAGGGAGTGGCAAAGGTGAGAATCACATGTACACATGATTTACATTTAATATTCATAGCTAATGATATATTTAAATATTTTAACAGTTACTAAAAGGTATAAATTATTGCAATTTATTTTAATACTAAAAATTCACCCCTTAACCTCTAGTAATAACTTTACCTTTAAATTTTTGAAATTGTGTTTATTGGTGCTTCATGCATCACCTGTATTTAGTACTTCGACTGTGTATAAAAAGTGGTTGATTCAGGACTGTATAAGATGTGTTCACTCTCTATAGTCTTGGAGCCACAAAGCAGAGGGTGGTAGTGCGTAAAGAAGAGATATTCACCAGTCCGTTACTCCACTATGATGCTGTAAGCAAGAAGGGGCACTCCACACAGAGATATGCCACAAAAGTAGGTGCTCCAATTTTCAGACGAATAATGCTTCTTTTGCTCAGATAAAGAATAAATCAACAAATATGACATAATACTTTCATTTTTCTTAGTCAAGCTAAATAAAGTTGAGCATTTTCAAATTTTACACTTTTGCATGAGACAAGATATTTCAAGATGCATTATTCCTACAACTGTCAACCATTCATATAACAAACACCACATTTTCTTTCTTTGCACTGTTGAATAGACTTAGATTCTCCCTCATCTTTTAAGGATGACATTGCCAAGGCATCTGCTGCCAGGGCGTCAGAGGTAGGGGGCTCTATCAGGCACATTACGCGACCAGACGTCAAGAGTGTTAAGAATCAGTCTCCAAGAGCAAAACTCTCCTGTCAGCACAGCACACAGGAGTCACCTAAAAGTCAGAAACTGACAGTGTCCAGTAATAGTCCTGTTACAAACATTGGGGTCAGGAGTCCCCTAGGGGTGAACAGCATCAAAAGAAACAGCAACAGTGGGGTGAACAGTGATAAAGAGAAAAGCATTGATGAATCAAGTGAATTTGACAGTCTGAACACATCCAAAGGATTTGTTCAGGTAAGTCTGCCTTCTCCATCTTGATAATACCCTGAATGGAGTATGAATAATTTGGCTTTCATGGAAATGTAATTCCATAACCTTTTCAAAACTTGACTGTCTCAGCAAGCTGAGTTTGAGGACTTGAGTGTCATACCAATAGAAAAGGTGAAAACATAACAATGTCACTTGCAAGTCATATTTTTCCAAATCTAACATAAAGAAAAAAAATTGTCAGTGCCATGCCTTACATTACTAACTGTTTTCTTCTCTGAAATAGGCTCTAGATTCCAATGGAAACCCTCTGTGCCTGAATTGTCAGCAACCTTATGAGAACCGTCTGCTTTCCTCGGCAACCATCCGTAGCAACAGTGCAGCCTGGGATACACGGTTCTGTAAGACACAGTGTAAGGAGGAATTCTGGGTAGGTCTCTATAAGAAAAATTATTTTTTGATAACATGAAAAGTCAGTTTTACATAAGTTATACTGTATTTTTGTTTAAAGGATTTGTCTAAAGAAACATTAAATTTTGTTTGATACTGGCAACAGATTTCCCCAAGATTTTCTCTGGTTTGCAGTAACATATTTCCAGTTTTGTTCACCCTGAAAGGGGGGAGTGGGCAAGTGATCAGGATCCCACCATTTGTGTTATAAAAATTGTTTTTATCTCTATATTTTTAAGTATAAAAGTTATTGCTCATTAATCATTGATTAACCTATCTTGAATCACTCTAAACATTATCCCTTGGCTTCCAGCTGCGCACCCACCATGGCTATGGACGTGACCAGGTATTTGAGGCTGAGCGCGGCATGTGCCAGAAATGCAACTTCAATGCACACGAATTTTTTAAGAAAATAAGGTAAGTTTTTTCATGTTGGACAGAATAGTTAATTTTGAACTATTTTAATAAAGCATGGATGGATGTATTTTTTGTAGGATTGAAGGTTTGATGCAATGTGTTTGCTATCAAATAAATATGCAGTGTAGTAAATAGAACAACTCTTTCAAAGTACCACTTCCTTTAAAAGAAAATGGTATTAATCTTCAGAGAAAAGATAGAGAATAATTTTTTTAATAAAATTGAGAGAAACTTTTTTACCTTTTTACTAACTTGTCTTTCGAAATTGACATGTATAATTATTTTTCCATATAGAATTACAGGGGACTTTAAAAAGCGTGCAGATCTGATCAAGAAGAGTGTGTACAATGTGTTGAAGGGTGAAGTCAAAGAGAAGATGGTTAGAAAGCCAGTGGAAGGCATGGTGAGTGACACATCCCATTTATAACTTGGGTAGAGAACACTGGTGGACCTTTTTTCCATTGTCAGTTATAGATTCTTCCTCCGCCTAAACCCCAGTCCCCGGATATTACAAGAATTATCTAAAAAAAATGTAGTATTCCCCACACCCTTTTGGCTTATCCTGACTCTCACTGGTCTGTATGGGTTGTGTATACCTTAGAAATTCATATAATTAATAAAAGTATATAAATTATTTCCAGTTCTGGCATGTGGATCACATCAACCCAGTGTATGCAGGGGGAGGTCAATGTGACCTGGACAACCTCCAGACTCTTTGTACAGTGTGTCACATGACAGTCACAGCACAGCAGAACAAACAGAGACACCAAGCCAAGAGACTACAGAGGGCAGCACTGGATGGGGATATCACGGCTTTCTTTCAAAAGGCGACAAGTTGAACAGTGAAATTGAATCAATAGACTACAGAGGGCAGCACTGGATGGGGATATCACGGCTTTCTTTCAAAAGGCAACAAGCTGAACAGTGGAATTGAATAAATAAACTATAGAGGGCAGCACTGGATGGGGATATTTCTTTCCCAAGACAAAAGTTAAACTGTTAGATTGAAAGCAAATTAAAAGATTGTGGAGTACAACACTTGATAGCAGAACTTGATACTTTGAAATCTGCTTTCTTTAAATTAGTTATTCAAAGTGAATAATAACAATCCAGGTCCGATATGCAGTGCTAGAGACTTATTGCCTGTAAGATGGGCAACGTTGTAGAGATATAACAGTGTGGGAGGAGGTCCATAACTTACCCCCACCCCCTTTCTCAGAGAAGACTATAGGGTCAACCAGTAACATTTTATAAAATGAATACCATTCATGCCAGATATTTTGATATTATTTCTTAAAGAATTATGCAATATTGATTGATAGATGTATTATTTTATGGAATGTCAATTTTTATTTTCATTCATTAAAATGATGATTTTTAAATTGAAGGATTCTTTGTTGAGGAAAAGATGAACCGTAAAATGTTTGTGCAGTTTCAATTTGTGCAATGTGTTATCACAAATATAGTTTAGCTTCCCCATTTTCTCTTTACAAATTTGATAGAATGAAAACGATCAATAAAATAAATTGATGCAACGCTCAGGCGACCATGATTTTGTCTTCCCAAAGTCAACTCTTTTTCTCTTTCTTTAGTCGAGATTAACGAGTACATTTTATCGTTTTAAATGAAAGAGGTAATCGAATACGTGAATCACGTGTTTGATAACTGTTTTGTTTTTTCAACAATTTTGTCAGACGTGAAACCATGTTTTATCTTTCCATTTTTACCAGTGACGTATTTCTGTAATCTGCCTAGAATATTCATTATTGGATTGTTTGCAAGGCACGCATGAGTTCATGTAGAAAATGGATACTCCTGTAACGCACATAGGCCTATTACCTGTTGGTTAAGGGGAGGCACATGTACACTCTCTAGTGTACTACAAATAAAATGCGATAATCCTTTTATGATTAAAATAAATAAATTTATGTTACTTCTTATCATACAAGACCAGTCCCACATATTAGCATAAAAAAACGTGCCCGTACGTCGGGACCTTATTTCGCTCACAGTTTTCACAATGTTTACCGAATTAGTCTTCTCAGAATCGGAGTAAGTATTCCGCTTCCTAGTCTGATTGCAGTTAACTATTATAGAATATAAAAGATGTTTCTTTGTTATTAATTTTATAACAACTTATATATCTGCTCGTCTGTCATTACATAACGCACACAGAAAATTCACTATGATCAATAAAAATCTACATGGTGCGGCAGTTTGTACATGTACGCATAAGGCTTTCTTGACGAAAATAGACGTTTTAATTTGTTAATTCATCGTTGAGTTATAAACATGTTCACTGAAAGTTGGCCGGGTTATTATTATATAGTCGCCAGGTCACAGTAGTGTATAATGACACCAGACAGAAAACAATAAACATAATGATAGACCTGTAGCGCATCCCGCCTATCATTTGACTGTTCTGTATAGTATATAGGGATCGAGTGGTCAAAAACAACAGAAAAAAAGCTACATGTAGGTCACCTCCATGTATCCCCCTCCACAACCCCTTCAATAATGTTCAATATTATAACTAATTATGGTATGGTCACTAATATATTTGGAAGCTGAATATCTGGCTTATCAGTTTTGCTTTTTGAAAGTGCGGCGCCGCCTATGAAAGCTGACAGGGCCTATTTGCTGGAATCTGCAACATTTCACCTGTGCTTGAACAGCATCCTCACCAAAATTTAACTTTCGTTAATTTCTACCGTTTTCATATCTTTAACGTGTTTTGTTGCCTGACAGGTATGCTAATTTTGAGAGGTCATCAAAACAGCGACGGCTTCTAGATGTTTAGACACACTTAGATTTTATCTGAATAGCCCACATTCGACATAGGACTAGTGCAAACATTCTGGTGTACATGTATGATGTTTTAATCTAAAATTAATGTTTTATGAAAATATATGGTGAAGGATATACTAATAAATGTTTTTGATTTTTAAAACCCTACATTATTTCCTTTTAACAGGCCTACGACATATATTCGTGGGCCCAACCAGTTTTGAAAGTGCAAATAGCTCACGTACAGACTTCAGATATTTTTTCTCTTCTTTCTCATATTAGAGTCCCAAAACGACTGATGCTCTTGTGACTGTGATGAAAGTGTGATGTGTGTGTATATGGTATAGCTACATATATACCTGGTCTTGCTCAGCACAAACTGTAAAGTAAGCCCAGTGATGACACCTGTACAGGTCAGACAGGTAGGACAGCAGGCTTACCCATCCTCGGTCACCTCAGCTGTGTTTGTTATGTGTTTCTATATATTGAAAATTAAATACTTACAAACATCTCAGAATCGCCGTTTTGATACGGAATTATTGCTAATATACTGTAGTTTCATCCTAAAGTTGAATTTTGGTGCTTTCTTAAAGATTTGAGTGTGAATTATGTATTTAATTGCTCCTTTATCTTTGCGTCTGCAATGTTTTCCCGATTAACAACCATTTTATTAAATGAAAAGAACTTCAGGTGTCCTTCAAACTCTACAAACTGACAGACAAATATATTATTATATCTTCTGAATCGTTAGTTTCTTAATCCATCATTCACTTTAGGTGGGAATCAAACTTTTCCAACACAAACAAACACACATTCACTTCTATGCGGACTCCATATTGAAATACATGAGCGATTAAAGGCGGTGTGTTCTAAGAGGTCCGCGCGGTGGCTTTAAGTCAGGGCGCTTATTACCGGCATCATACAAATTTGAAGTAGCACCTCAATTCAACAGAGTAAGAAGACACAAAAGAAGAATTCGTCATGGCTGACACCGCTACCCCACAGAAGAAGGCCAAGGCAGCCAAGCCTAAGGCTCCAGCAGCTCACCCTAAGGTCGCCGAGATGGTGGTTGCAGCTATTGCTGCCCTGAAAGAACGCGGAGGATCCTCTGGCCAGGCCATTAAGAAGTACATCGCGGCCAACTACAAGGTGGACATCGTGAAGATCGCACCATTCATCAAACGTTACCTGAAGAGCGGCGTCACTGCTGGCACCCTAGTCCAGACCAAAGGCAAAGGTGCTTCTGGCTCTTTCAAACTGAGCGCTGCCGCTAAGAAACCAGCAGCGAAGCCCAAGAAAGTAAAGAAGCCCAAGGCAGAGGCAAAGAAAGTGAAGAAGGTCGCCAAGTCTCCAAAGAAAGCAAAGAAGTCAGCCGGTGAGAAGAAAGCAAAGAAGGCCAAGTCTCCCAAGAAAGCTAAGTCCCCCAAGAAGGTGAAGGCAGCCAAGCCAAAGACAGCGAAGAAGGCCAAGTCTCCGAAGAAGCCGGCCAAGAAAGCCGCCAAACCCAAGGTGAAGAAGTCCCCTAAGAAGACTGCCAAGAAGTAAATGAATACTTCTGTTGTCGTTTCTACAACTTAACGGCCCTTTTCAGGGCCAACCCAAACAACCAAGAAAAGCTATGCCAAATATATGTTCAATATTTTGATAATATATAAGCCTTTTAAAATGGAATATCTAAGACGACTGATATTAAATTTGACAGTCCCTTGAATAGGCCTTGCTGACACCGTCGTAAAAAAAAAAAAAACCCATTCCAACCGACTTATCGAACCAGGTATCTAAACTTTGAGCGTTCGTCACCAATTATCCAGGGGAGAGTGCCAGGGTGGTATTCAATAATATAATATCAACAGAGATTATCTTTTTACGCGTTTTGTATTTTTAAATACAAATTACGAATTAAAATTAAGATCTGTAAGATCTTGGGGGTGGGTGGGGGTTTAAACCAAGGTTAAACCAAGTATCAATTATATAGGTAACGATCGCATACAACCCANCAAGTCTCCAAAGAAAGCAAAGAAGCCAGCCGGTGAGAAGAAAGCAAAGAAGGCCAAGTCTCCCAAGAAAGCTAAGTCCCCCAAGAAGGTGAAGGCAGCCAAGCCAAAGGCAGCGAAGAAGGCCAAGTCTCCGAAGAAGCCGGCCAAGAAAGCCGCCAAACCCAAGGTGAAGAAGTCCCCTAAGAAGACTGCCAAGAAGTAAATGAATACTTCTGTTGTCGTTTCTACAACTTAACGGCCCTTTTCAGGGCCAACCCAAACAACCAAGAAAAGCTATGCCAAATATGTTCAATATTTTGATAATACATAAGCCTTTTAAAATGGAATATCTAAGACGACTGATATTAAATTTGACAGTCCCTTGAATAGGCCTTGCTGTCACCGTCGTAAAAAAAAAAAAAAAAAACCTATGCCAACCGACTTATCGAACCAGGTATCTAAACTTTGAGCGTTCGTCACCAATTTTCCAGGGGGGGGGGGGGGGGGGGTTTCAAAAAAAAAAATAAAAAGAGTTTTCTTTTTTCCCGTTTTGTTTTTTTTAAAACAAAATAAAAAATAAAATTNTCACTGCTGGCACCCTAGTCCAGACCAAAGGCAAAGGTGCTTCTGGCTCTTTCAAACTGAGCGCTGCCGCTAAGAAACCAGCAGCGAAGCCCAAGAAAGTAAAGAAGCCCAAGGCAGAGGCAAAGAAAGTGAAGAAGGTCGCCAAGTCTCCAAAGAAAGCAAAGAAGTCAGCCGGTGAGAAGAAAGCAAAGAAGGCCAAGTCTCCCAAGAAAGCTAAGTCCCCCAAGAAGGTGAAGGCAGCCAAGCCAAAGGCAGCGAAGAAGGCCAAGTCTCCGAAGAAGCCGGCCAAGAAAGCCGCCAAACCCAAGGTGAAGAAGTCCCCTAAGAAGACTGCCAAGAAGTAAATGAATACTTCTGTTGTCGTTTCTACAACTTAACGGCCCTTTTCAGGGCCAACCCAAACAACCAAGAAAAGCTATGCCAAATATATGTTCAATATTTTGATAATATATAAGCCTTTTAAAATGGAATATCTAAGACGACTGATATTAAATTTGACAGTCCCTTGAATAGGCCTTGCTGACACCGTCGTAAAAAAAAAAAAAACCCATTCCAACCGACTTATCGAACCAGGTATCTAAACTTTGAGCGTTCGTCACCAATTATCCAGGGGAGAGTGCCAGGGTGGTATTCAATAATATAATATCAACAGAGATTATCTTTTTACGCGTTTTGTATTTTTAAATACAAACTACAAATTAAAATTCGTCAAGATCTGTAAGATCTTGGGGGTGGGTGGGGGTTTAAACCAAGGTTTATGTCTGTATCAATTATATAGGTAACGATCGCATACAACCCATCAACGCCCCCCCCCCCCCTCCAAACATACGAACGAAACTACCTCTTTGATTCATGCACTTACGGGGTATTAGTACCTTTAATTATCATGTTCTTAGCAAAATCCATCATACGCACATACGCTTCTCTTGTTAGACGGACGGCGCTCCCATTAATCGTTATTAGGCGTGTGTCCAACTTTCGACAAATTAACTGTCATTAGTTGACACATTCCAGATTGCATGTTATTTTTTCTTCTTCTCCTCTCTCTTGTATTTTCTAAAAAGGAAATAGATATAAGAGAATAATGATTCATTCCTACCGCAAAATATTCTCCTATATATGTTTTCTTTAATTATCTGTAAATGTGCTGCTATATATTTATTTTTTGTTATTTGATGATTAGCCTATGATCCGATTGTACCTTATACGTGAAGGCGTAGGCCTACGTTTATTGATAAAGATTCCGTTGCATTTAAGATGTAGGCCTAAATATTGAGATCAGATAATTTTGCCTGTTTGAAAGTTAGGCCTACTATTTTTTTTTTTTTTTTTTTTTTTGGTCATCCAAACGTGTGAGTTGGATTAGAAAAGTCTTCTGTACGATATTTAGATATCAAAATATGACTTCAGGTAGCTCCCCCCCCCCCCCCCGGCAGCCCAAGATCCTATAAGTTGTTATTCTTTCTAAAATAATCTAAAATGAAATAATCCTTTTGATAAGTTATGAAGGTGATATCAAAGGTCTCTAATTAAACTAGTCCGTGACAAGTAAACTCTCGATCTGTTTCAGGCTCTGACATCGGTGACTAGTTGGGATCATTTTCAGTGATGGCGGTTTCTGAAAAGACGTTGGCTGTTGCTCGAAGTTTTAAGGCAAAACTAGACGTGAGTGTGCGTTCCAAAAGATTGTATAGTTTCTAGAATGAGTGTTTAGACGGTTTTAACAGTAACAACATGTAACTCTGAATAACTAGCAAAAAATATGAATTAGAAATCGAAAATAAAGCCCATGTGAGTATTTGAAATCTTTCATATTTTTAACAGCACTAATGACATGTGATGGTACATTGTAATCCATTTCTTTATCTCGTAGCAACTTGGCTGTCCCTTCACTGAAGATGTAGACGTGTCATGGATACTAGAGCTGATATTCAAGCCTGGAGAGCCCAGGATACGTTTGCTCCAGTGGCTGTTTTCAAAGTAAGACAACTAATCTATAAAACAGGCGTCTAAGACAAATTTAGTGCTTGGATGAATGAATGGATAAGATGGAGTTGACCACAGGTGACTCGCGTGTCTGAGGGCATGACGGCATGAAGGTATCATTCTTTGTAGGGACCATTGCTGAATGAATGCTGTGCCTCCAGCAGCTCAATCGGCTTCTGGAAGCTTTTTTACTTGATTTTGATTACCATCCAATGCACACAAAATCACAAAAGGGTATTTGATGTACATTAAATATTCCCTTATGTCTTTGAGGCCTTAGACAGAGGTTGCTTTGAAGTTAGAATGTTATTAAACAGCCTCTTTTTAATTTGAATACCATTTAACTGAAATAAAGTGTATGTATAACTTTAACACTTCACTGGAGTTAACTTTTTTTCCAAGGTTTGACTCCAAGTTGAATGACATGTTAGATCCACAGTTGGCTGCCACTGACACTAAAATTGACTCCAGAATTCAGAGTAAGTACATTGATTAAATGGGACAGAGTATCCATATATTTGTTTGTGTTTCCGATTAAGTCCTTATTTGTCTAAAAATTTCATTTATTTAAGTTGATTCAGGTTGTTGCAAACAGTGTGCATCTTATACTTTGCATTGTCATAGGCAGACTGTGATGCAAGTGAAATTTCTAGCAAATATTCACACAACTGATACAAATTTTGGTAATGATAACAACAATAACAACAGTAATAATAAATTAAGACATTTTAAAAAAATTCCTTGATTTCAATGATTTGATGTTCTCTTTTATTAAAGGACTACTGTTTATAGCGAACACTTTGGGACTGTGCAGATATGATGATGTGGACCTCATAAGGGTGAGATATTAAATGGTGTTCCAAGTACAGTTCATCTCTCCTAAACTTAGTTAAGAAAATGTGGTTGGCACAGTTTTTGAAAATAGTAAAATTTGCTGGCGTTGTGGGGATATTCTAGTACCAACAACCCGTTGCTCTATTTTTTTTTTTAATATACCATTGTCAATCAATTTTTGAGACCACTGTGTTTGAACTTCCTTAACTTATTATTAGAGTAATTGTTGGCAAGCACTGGAATGTTGTAAAGAGATTTAGCAAAAGTGATTTATTTTATTTCAAAAGTCTGAATCCTTTATACTCAACTTATTTTATGCTATACAATATCTTTATGACATATTTCAATAATTAATCTGGACTTCTTTATTTTATATTTTCAGGGTGTTGCCTCTCAGGCTAAACAAATCTCTTTCATGGATCAACTGTTAGACTTGGTGTGGATTAAAGACACAGCTGATGATCCTCAGCTCAGACACATGCAGAGTCCAGGAGTGGTTAGGTATAGGATGGTAGATCCTTTTTAAAATGCATGTGTAGATTAATATCATGTGGCACTTTTTTGAGGCATTCTTCTTCATAGCAGGGTTTATATGCAGTGAGGATTGGGTGATTGTATTGCTTGACATTTAAAATATTTTTATTTATTATATTAGATTGGTATTAATATTGGAGTGTATCAAGGATAAATATGCAGCAGTACTTCTGCAGTAAAATCACATTGAACCCCCATTTGTGTCTGATTAATTCATCTCTATTCAGTGGCATTTGAAAAGTTATCACTTCTGAGTGACTAAGCTTTAAATCTTGACCTTGTTATACTACCAAATTATTCAGCCAGTGAACCTCTTAATGGCATTTTTTCTCATTGGCTTGTATCCTGTCCAAATTCATAATAATTTGACTTCAGTTGGCAGTTGCTTCTAACAAATATATAAAGCTCCATGCATTTTTGTCAGCATTATGGGTTATAAATATATTAAGTCATACAAAATGAATTTTGTTGTTCAATGTGCTATAGATTACCGTCTGTATCTAGAGACAACTGTCAGTAGCACATTACATGCCACATAAATAATTTCCACATAGTGTTTATATTTTTGCTCAGAGTGTCGTTTATTTTTTACTGATAGTGAGACCACCCAAATAGATGACCAGTTTACTCAAGACTGTTGGCTGGCAGACACAATAGCTGGTCAGGAGAGGATGCACACCATGTTCAGTCCTAAGGCGCGCCTCCTGCCCCCTGATCTCATGAAGTCTGTGGAACAAAGTTGGAAGCAGAGGGAGAAGAAGAATCCAAATTGGTAATTTATTTAAAGCAGGATTGTTGACTATGTGCACTTCTGCATGTTTTACTCACTGTTAGCAATGTTTTATCTTCCTTTGGTTTGCTGTTGTTTTCAGCTTTTTTATGTACAGACACAGATGTGTCTGTACNTTATTAGAGTAATTGTTGGCAAGCACTGGAATGTTGTAAAGAGATTTAGCAAAAGTGATTTATTTTATTTCAAAAGCCTGAATCCTTTATACTCAACTTGTTTTATGCTATACAATATCTTTATGACATATTTCAATAATTAATCTGGACTTCTTTATTTTATATTTTCAGGGTGTTGCCTCTCAGGCTAAACAAATCTCTTTCATGGATCAACTGTTAGACTTGGTGTGGATTAAAGACACAGCTGATGATCCTCAGCTCAGACACATGCAGAGTCCAGGAGTGGTTAGGTATAGGATGGTAAATCCTTTTTAAAATGCATGTGTAGATTAATATCATGTGGCACTTTTTTGAGGCATTCCTCTTCATAGCAGGGTTTATATGCAGTGAGGATTGGGTGATTGTATTGCTTGACATTTAAAATATTTTTATTTATTATATTAGATTGGTATTAATATTGGAGTGTATCAAGGATAAATATGCAGCAGTACTTCTGCAGTAAAATCACATTGAACCCCCATTTGTGTCTGATTAATTCATCTCTATTCAGTGGCATTTGAAAAGTTATCACTTCTGAGTGACTAAGCTTTAAATCTTGACCCTGTTATACCACCAAATTATTCAGCCAGTGAACCACTTAATGGCATTTTTTCTCATTGGCTTGTATCCTGTCCAAATTCATAATAATTTGACTTCAGTTGGCAGTTGCTTCTAACAAATATATAAAGCTCCGTGCATTTTTGTCAGCATTATGGGTTATAAATATATTTAGTCATACAAAATGAATTTTGTTGTTGAATGTTCAATGTGCTATAGAGTACTGTCTGTATCTACAGATACTGTCTGTAGCACATTACATGTTACATAAATAATTTCCACATAGTGTTTATATTTTTGCTCAGTGTCGTTTATTTTTTACTGATAGTGAGACCACCCAAATAGATGACCAGTTTACTCAAGACTGTTGGCTGGCAGACACAATAGCTGGTCAGGAGAGGATGCACACCATGTTCAGTCCCAAGGCGCGCCTCCTGCCCCCTGATCTCATGAAGTCTGTGGAACAAAGTTGGAAGCAGAGGGAGAAGAAGAATCCAAATTGGTAATTTATTTAAAGCAGGGTTGTTGACTATGTGCACTTCTGCATGTTTTACTCACTGTTAGCAATGGTTTATCTTCCTTTGGTTTGCTGTTATTTTCAGCTTTTGATAAAGATTGAAGCCCATTGGACATTAACGTATTTGACTATCATTGGAAAAAGTGTACAAGTAACACGTTTTCAGTTTTCTTCTATTTTTATGTTCTCAAAAAAGAGATCAGTCTGAAATTTAGTGATGATATGGATAATTTCCCACTTCCCTTTCAGTTCCCATGTCCCAGATATAACACAGCTTGTCCAGATGTCACAAGAACTGTCCAGAAATTTGGCTAGGCAGACAGAAATACTAAATGAATTAAAAGCAGGTGTAAGTATAACAATGCTACCAAACACAGATTCTGAATCAAGAGGGCAGAATAAGCTTCTGTTCCACTCCAGAAAGGGAAGGTTATACAGCTTTATCTAAGTACAGCAAAAGGACCCATCTGTGACATTTTACCCCCCAAAACTTATTAAAAAGATATTTAAACAAGTACAACTTCTAGACTTGTACACATTTACAAGCTTGGCATTGTAGAACCATTACTATTCATTATAAACATCATTACCTTCCATAGATAACATTATTGTTTTGATAACTGCATTTAGATTACTCTCTCTTTATTTTCCAGTACCATCTCCCAGAGCAGGATGATGCTCTCCAGGACAAAGTGACCAGAACACTGAGACTGGTGCTGTCAGAATTGTCCCAGCTAGTTGTGGGGTTTTCTTATGTCTTTGAAAATGAGATGCGGCAGTGGTGTAATAAGACACCACCCTCCTTGACGGAGCTGGGCCCAGCTTTTAAAAGAGTTCACACCATGCTACAGCAATTTACAGCTGTATGTACTTTTCTTTTTCATCTGGTTTCACTGTATTGGTCCATCTTCATAGTATTTAATTTTTTTATTATTATTGTCTGGTATTGCTTTTTTAGCCCATCTTCAAAGTTTATAATTTTACTTATTTTTAGTTCTTAAAATTGTATTGTTTGAACATGTATGCAAGGAAACGAAACATTTTTATCCATTTTTGGTAAAAAGATATTAATAATCTACATTTCTAATCACCTTCTGTTGTCAACTTTGCAACAAATACTTTTTCAGCTCTTACAAGGTTTATCAACAATAAGAAGTTCCTATACAACTGTGTGTGAAGAAAGTTCTGAGAGGACTAAAACCATCTTAAATCCAGACAAGACAGCAGGATTAGGTAAACAGATAATTTATGTCTAGCATTGGCAGTGTTATATGACTTCAGTAATTCCTTCATAGTTATATATGTTTGGTAAAGTTTACTGTTGTTATTTATTCATTTTTTTTTTTTTTTTTTTTTTTTTGTAAGTGTAAATGTATCATCAGGTCAAGTGTAGAGCACACAGTGCATTGTGTGTTTTTGCCAAGAAACTGAAGATTTCCTTTCTCGGAATCTACTTAATCTCATCATCCTCATTCAACTCTCAGTAATAATCATGGAAGATTCTTTAATCAAACAGTCAAAATCAAGTCTACAATGTTACGAAATTTGTCAGAATGATATGAAGGCAAAAATGCCCGAGAACAGTCAAGGTGCATTCACAATTAAACTTTTGTAATTTCAGTAGTTCAAATTAATTGGGGGCTTTCCAGGAGTGCAATCAGATTACTGTAGAAGACTAATATGCCTCTTCCTGGCATGGAGTAAAACAGTAAAGCTGGTGATTGTACACATACCTTAGACACGAGGGGAGTAGGATAGTGTACATTGTGAATGCACCCAAAGTCTAAGTTTATATATAATCCATTAATAGCCAGTACTACCATCAGACATGATTAAATTAAGCAGAAAGCAGGTTCCAGGGCTCCTCCAGGTGAAGGATGACCCAAAAGATGGAATTGCAATTACAAAATCATCACATTTTTATCTTGGTAACCAACTGTAATTTTTGATCCCATTTCAGCATATGTCAGCCAGGCAGCCTTGGACAGTTTCCAGGAGTGCGTCTCTGTTCTGGAGGAGACTATGAGACACAGGGGTCAGAGGAAAGGACAATCGGAGGCCAGTTTTCTTGGAAATTCTACCATGATCAAACTGTGATGGTCCTTTGTGGGGAAGAAAATTTCTGAGCACAACCATTTGCCAAGAAGGAAAAGGAATTTTTTCTGTATGGTCCAATCTCAAAAACATTTGGTAACCCTTCTAATTCTGGCAAATGGTTTGGACTAGATGTATTCCTCATATAATCCGGACTTAAAACAATTCAACTTGGTAGTAATGGGGAAAAAAACGGCTCATCAAGTACTTCAGGAAATCGTGCCTGAGGATGGAAATGATATGGCATTTGCAGATCTCTACAGAGCATGGCTAAACAGGGATTGACCAAACTATTTCCATGAATGGCTTCATACTTGTTACTTCTTGGTTATTGAAATAAATTATTTTTCTACAAGACATTTCCCTTTTGATTTTATACTCCGGTATTGAACGTATTCACACTACTGAAATATTACTTATTGAAAGAAAATATTCCTCGAATGAAAATAAGTTTTTGTTTGGTTTCTATTGCAAATCCAAACACCATTTATAAAAACCACAAAAAACAATATTTTTTTAATTTTCAAAATATCTTTTATTCAAAAAATGTTTCTAAACTCAAAAAAAGTAAGGACTAAAAATTGCATATGAAAAAAAAATGCTCAGCATCATTTATGTTGGTTTTGTTTACAATTATATAGTATCAGAAATATCGCAACATGTCATTTGGTGTTCTAGATGAATGTACAATCAGACTTACAACCAGGGATAAAGGATGCAGCAGCAGCAGGCAAGAACANTTTTTCACTTATTTGCATCTTTATTTTCTGTTCTTTGTCTGTACATTTGACAGCTTTGCTGCCTTGTATTAAAGATTGAAGCCCATTGGACATTAACGGATTTGACTATCATTGGAAAAAGTGTGCAAGTAACACGTTTTCAGTTTTCTTCTATTTTTATGTTCTCAAAAAAAAGATCAGTCTGAAATTTAGTGATGATATGGATAATTTCCCACTTCCCTTTCAGTTCCCATGTCCCAGATATAACACAGCTTGTCCAGATGTCACAAGAACTGTCCAGAAATTTGGTCAGGCAGACAGAAATACTTAATGAATTAAAAGCAGGTGTAAGTATAACAATGCTACCAAACACAGATTCTGAATCAAGAGGGCAGAATAAGCTTCTGTTCCACTCCAGAAAGGGAAGGTTGTACAGCTTTATCTAAGTACAGCAAAAGGACCCATCTGTGACATTTTACCCCCCAAAACTTATTTAAAAGATATTTAAACAAGTACAACTTCTAAACTAGTACACATTTACAAGCTTGGCATTGTAGAGCCATTACCATTCATTATAAACGTCATTACCTTCCATAGATACCATTATTGTTTTGATAACTGCATTTAGATTACTCTCTCTTTATTTTCCAGTACCATCTCCCAGAGCAGGATGATGCTCTCCAGGACAAAGTGACCAGAACACTGAGACTGGTGCTGTCAGAATTGTCCCAGCTAGTTGTGGGGTTTTCTTATGTCTTTGAAAATGAGATGCGGCAGTGGTGTAATAAGACACCGCCCTCCCTGACGGAGCTGGGCCCAGCTTTTAAAAGAGTTCACACCATGCTACAGCAATTTACAGCTGTATGTACTTTTCTTTTTCATCTGGTCTCACTGTATTGGTCCATCTTCATAGTATTTAATTTTATTTATTATTATTGTCTGGTATTGCTTTTTTAGCCCATCTTCAAAGTTTATAATTTTATTTATTTTTAGTTCTTAAAATTGTATTGTTCAAACATGTATGCAAGAAAACGAAACATTTTTATCAATTTTTGGTAAAAAGATATTAATAATCTACATTTCTAGTCACCTTCTGTTGTCAACTTTGCAACAAATACTTTTTTAGCTATTACAAGGTTTATCAACAATAAGAAGTTCCTATACAACTGTGTGTGAAGAAAGTTCTGAGAGGACTAAAACCATCTTAAATCCAGACAAGACGGCAGGATTAGGTAAACAGATAATTTATGCCTAGCATTGGCAGTGTAATATGATTTCAGTAATTCCTTCATAGTTATATATGTTTGGTAAAGTTTACTGTTATTTATTCATTTTTTTTTGTAAGTGTAAATGTATCATCAGGTCAAGTGTAGAGCACACAGTGCATTGTGTGTATTTGCCAAGAAACTGAAGATTTCCTTTCTCGGAATCTACTTAATCTCATCATCCTCGTTCAACTCTCAGTAATAATCATGGAAGATTCTTTAATCAAACAGTCAAAATCAAGTCTACAATGTTACGAAATTTGTCAAAATGATATGAAGGCAAAAATGCCCGAGAACAGTCAAGGTGCATTCACAATTAAACTTTTGTAATTTCAGTAGTTCAAATTAATTGGGGGCTTTCCAGGAGTGCAATCAGATTACTGTAGAAGACTAATATGCCTCTTCCTGGCATGGAGTAAAACAGTAAAGCTGGTGATTGTACTTAGAAACGAGGGGAGTAGGATAGTGTACATTGTGAATGCACCCAAAGTCTCAGTTTATATATAATCCATTAATTGCCAATACTACCATCAGACATGATTAAATTAAGCAGAAAGCAGGGTTCCAGGGCTCCTCCAGGTGAAGGATGACCCAAAAGATGGAATTGCAATTACAAAATCATCACATTTTTGTCTTGGTAACCAACTGTAATTTTTGATCCCATTTCAGCATATGTCAGCCAAGCAGCCTTGGACAGTTTCCAGGAGTGCGTCTTTGTTCTGGAGGAGACTATGAGACACAGGGGTCAGAGGAAAGGACACTCGGAGGCCAGTTTTCTTGGAAATTCTACCATGATCAAACTGTGATGGTCCTTTGTGGGGAAGAAAATTTCTGAGCACAGCCATTTGCCAAGAAGGAATAGGAATTTTTTCTGTATGGTCCAATCTCAAAAACATTTGGTAACCCTTCTAATTCTAGCAAATGGTTTGGACTAGATGTATTCCTCATATTAATCCAGACTTAAAACAATTCAACTTGGTAGTAATGGGGAAAAAAAAACGGCTCATCAAGTACTTCAGGAAATCGTGCCTGAGGATGGAAATGATACGGCATTTGCAGATCTCTACAGAGAATGGCTAAACAGGGATTGACCAAACTATTTCCATGAATGGCTTCATACTTGTTACTTCTTGGTTATTGAAATAAATTATTTTTCTACAAGACATTTCCCTTTTGATTTTATACTCCGGTATTCACACTACTGAAATATTACTTATTGAAAGAAAATATTCCTCGAATGAAAATAAGTTTTTGTTTGGTTTCTATTGCAAATCCAAACACCATTTATAAAAGCCACAAAAAACAATATTTTTTTAATTTTCAAAATATCTTTTATTCAAAAAATGTTTCTAAACTCAAAAAAAGTAAGGACTAAAAAATTGCATATGAAAAAAAAAATGCTCAGCATCATTTATGTCGGTTTTGTTAACAATTATATAGTATCAGAAATATCGCAACATGTCATTTGGTGTTCTAGATGAACGTACAATCAGACTTACAACCAGGGATAAAGGATGCAGCAGCAGCAGGCAAGAATAAAGTTATTGCATTTGCCCCCTAAAACCTGAAAAGGGACTTTATAAAGAACCAAGGTTGTAATATGTAAAAATACATCAATAATTTACACAGTACATAATTGCTACTTCTAGAAAGACTGATCAAAACATTGACAACTTAATATAAAATGAAACAAAATGTACTTATCAGTTCCTGAAATAAAAGACAAAATTACAANCATTTTTATCAATTTTTGGTAAAAAGATATTAATAATCTACATTTCTAGTCACCTTCTGTTGTCAACTTTGCAACAAATACTTTTTTAGCTATTACAAGGTTTATCAACAATAAGAAGTTCCTATACAACTGTGTGTGAAGAAAGTTCTGAGAGGACTAAAACCATCTTAAATCCAGACAAGACGGCAGGATTAGGTAAACAGATAATTTATGCCTAGCATTGGCAGTGTAATATGATTTCAGTAATTCCTTCATAGTTATATATGTTTGGTAAAGTTTACTGTTATTTATTCATTTTTTTTTGTAAGTGTAAATGTATCATCAGGTCAAGTGTAGAGCACACAGTGCATTGTGTGTTTTTGCCAAGAAACTGAAGATTTCCTTTCTCGGAATCTACTTAATCTCATCATCCTCATTCAACTCTCAGTAATAATCATGGAAGATTCTTTAATCAAACAGTCAAAATCAAGTCTACAATGTTACGAAATTTGTCAGAATGATATGAAGGCAAAAATGCCCGAGAACAGTCAAGGTGCATTCACAATTAAACTTTTGTAATTTCAGTAGTTCAAATTAATTGGGGGCTTTCCAGGAGTGCAATCAGATTACTGTAGAAGACTAATATGCCTCTTCCTGGCATGGAGTAAAACAGTAAAGCTGGTGATTGTACACATACCTTAGACACGAGGGGAGTAGGATAGTGTACATTGTGAATGCACCCAAAGTCTAAGTTTATATATAATCCATTAATAGCCAGTACTACCATCAGACATGATTAAATTAAGCAGAAAGCAGGTTCCAGGGCTCCTCCAGGTGAAGGATGACCCAAAAGATGGAATTGCAATTACAAAATCATCACATTTTTATCTTGGTAACCAACTGTAATTTTTGATCCCATTTCAGCATATGTCAGCCAGGCAGCCTTGGACAGTTTCCAGGAGTGCGTCTCTGTTCTGGAGGAGACTATGAGACACAGGGGTCAGAGGAAAGGACAATCGGAGGCCAGTTTTCTTGGAAATTCTACCATGATCAAACTGTGATGGTCCTTTGTGGGGAAGAAAATTTCTGAGCACAACCATTTGCCAAGAAGGAAAAGGAATTTTTTCTGTATGGTCCAATCTCAAAAACATTTGGTAACCCTTCTAATTCTGGCAAATGGTTTGGACTAGATGTATTCCTCATATAATCCGGACTTAAAACAATTCAACTTGGTAGTAATGGGGAAAAAAACGGCTCATCAAGTACTTCAGGAAATCGTGCCTGAGGATGGAAATGATATGGCATTTGCAGATCTCTACAGAGCATGGCTAAACAGGGATTGACCAAACTATTTCCATGAATGGCTTCATACTTGTTACTTCTTGGTTATTGAAATAAATTATTTTTCTACAAGACATTTCCCTTTTGATTTTATACTCCGGTATTGAACGTATTCACACTACTGAAATATTACTTATTGAAAGAAAATATTCCTCGAATGAAAATAAGTTTTTGTTTGGTTTCTATTGCAAATCCAAACACCATTTATAAAAACCACAAAAAACAATATTTTTTTAATTTTCAAAATATCTTTTATTCAAAAAATGTTTCTAAACTCAAAAAAAGTAAGGACTAAAAATTGCATATGAAAAAAAAATGCTCAGCATCATTTATGTTGGTTTTGTTTACAATTATATAGTATCAGAAATATCGCAACATGTCATTTGGTGTTCTAGATGAATGTACAATCAGACTTACAACCAGGGATAAAGGATGCAGCAGCAGCAGGCAAGAACAAAGTTATTGCATTTGCCCCCTAAAACCTGAAAAGGGACTTTATAAAGAACCAAGGTTGTAATATGTAAAAATACATCAATAATTTACACAGTACATAATTGCTACTTCTAGAAAGACTGATCAAAACATTGACAACTTAATATAAAATGAAACAAAATGTACTTATCAGTTCCTGAAATAAAAGACAAAATTACAACAGATTTCAAACTGTAGGGTTTTGTTGTTAACTTAAAGAGTTCAAATCAAGTATTCAAAGTTATAATCATTTTACTGATGGATAAATAAACATAAAACTAGACTGAACCCAACAGACTACACTACACACTTATTCCACTTCCTCCAGTTTCCTGGGACAACTGTACTTAGTTCCCACATGTCGCCATAGCAACTGGAGTTAACCCTGCATCTTTACAATGCCCCCTTGTGGATTGTGACTGCTTCACTGGGATTTTTTCTTTTTCAGGCTGAGGGAAATCAAACACAACATTAGTAACAGATGTCCTTACTCATGCCACAGCAGTTATACTGTGGTAATACTAGTCTGGGAAAGTTCGCTACATTACAAGTTGGTATAACGTTTTTCATTCGTATTTAACCAACAGACTGGTTTTGATGTTCTGTATAACGAAGTCTGACAATTCGTAACATTTTCACAAAGTAAACCGTCAAAGCAGGCTAACATCTCAATATCCTTGCATTTCATTCACGGACCTTAACGTCAATCTTGCTTTCTTTTTTTACCAGTCTGACAGAAAACTTTCTGATACTACACGAAGGGCAACAAAGTATTCTCAAGTGTACATAATCAGCATACTAGTACATATATTTAAGTATGAATATGTAGATACAACCACATATTACCTCATTCTTTGATGGTGATACCCTTTTGCACCCACTGCATTGCCTTGCTCAAGCTCGGCAACTGTAGGGGACTACTGAGCCTTTTTCAATCTGCTGCTGAAAGGGAACAAATATAATTAGTAAACACTGTTTTCGTAATCAATATTGCAACATTCGCACCACTGAGCAATCAGCACCTGTTCTATTTGAGGTAATGTGTGCAATGGCACGGATTCTCTACACCAAATGTTATGTTTATCAAACTAAAAGTCATGAGAATTCTTCATCTTCTTTGGATTCCACCAGGTGTTGTTTCAGGTGATGATTTTCTCTCCTCAAGGCCTGGTTCACCATCTGCAACTCTGTCAGCTCGGCTTTAAGTGTGCTTAGGGATGGTCTAACGGACAAACATTGCTCTTCATCCTCTTCCTCTGAACCAAAATTGTCAGTTTCATTTAATCTACTCTCCATCTGTGTCAGTCTCTCTTCCATGTCAAAAATTTTTGAAACGAGTTCACATTTAGGGAGCTTTTCAAGCTCTTCACATTTTATAGATTCAAATACGTTTTTAAAGTCTTGAGAGAGGTAAGTAAACGTATCAATGTCATCGGGTGAATTGTACTCATAATCTATGTCTGAATATTCTGGAGAGTTTTTCAGCGAAGACCCCGTTGAATCTGTAACGTGAAATCTTTGGTCTGCCAGTTCAAAGTCTGTGTACAATTCACAATCAACTAAACTCAAGTGATCGTCCATGATAAACTGTGTTGAATTGCACGGTGCCTTAAGAGTAAAATACGGTCTTAAAGGTTTATCTTTTGTAGAACTGGATGGCACGTGATAGGGCGACACCCGATATTCGTCAATATTTTGGCACGTTTCCAAATCCTCCTCAAACTGATTTTCACGTACAGTTTTCACTTTTGATTTCTTTCCTCGTCGAGTTTTTCTCATCTTCTTCATATTTTCTGCTTCCATCATGTCTAAATTGTCAATTTCAACAAGCATGCTACTGAGAAGCGGCTGATACACGTGAAAAGGAATGAAACGTTGATGCAACGAATCAAAATGGCGGGGAAATAATATCCGCCCAAGTGTTTTACGACTCGACTTTTTAGTAAAATTCTAGACGATTCTACTTAAGTCACAGTTTCAGATGAATCAAAGTACTGTCTTGTGCCTCACAAATGTGGAAAAAAGTTTCTCTATTACCTAGATAATCACGAACTAGGAGACAATCTATGGCTCTCTCTGCAAACACGTTCTTCTCGGTGGCTCTCTTCTCGATAAATGACGATGTTGCTACGTTTCCAGTGTTTGTATTTCATTGGACGTCGATACGACGTTCATGACGTCATTGTAAAATCTTAGCCAATAAAACACGCGATTTCCTTACCACGTGACAAAGTGGCAGCTGATCCATATATTGCAGTGTAGTTGTGAAATAAATTAACTTTGGAAAAATAAAATATTGTATGTTTTAAATCTTTCTCAGTGTTAAAAATAAGAATGACATCATCCCCTTATGGCAGTATATAAAGTGAGCTCAATATAAAACTGAGGAATGAATCAGCTGTTCATTTTGCGCCAGAGTTTACCCCATCCCCGCTTTCGTAGTAGACAAACAAGTTAGTGTGATAGGAGAGATCGCTGTGATTACTGGCGGATAGTAGAGAATAGGGTGTGACCTAGAAACCTCGTGGACGCATGTTCATATTAGTGACTCGACAGGCAATATGTGTATGTTGTTTTTGAAGAATATTTACACAGATTTCATTCCGTTTTCATTAATAAAATACAATATATTTGACCATATACCTTCGTGAATGTTAGGAAACAGGAAAGAAGCGTCGCTGGAGAAGAGAAAACGCAAAACGATGCCGAAAGGAAAGAAGAAAGGTAGGAAAATGTCGACATTTTATTTTGACACGTTTCGAATTCATGATAATAAACATTGGCAACATATGGAATTCCTTCAAGTTAAATGGGAAAGCTTATCAATCGTCACTTCACTGCGAGTGTGCTATTGTTGTGATTTGTATGTATTGTGCTGAAATGTGTAAATCACTTAAAATTATATTTATATATTTTTAAACCCACATACCCCGTGACGGCATCATGATCAAATTATTTCGAGTTATATTCAAGGTCAGCCACTCAGCTTTGTCCTACGTTGAACTTCTCCCCTCCCCCTGTAAATTAATGACAATAACAGTGAGCTGAGGCCTCCTGTGATATCAGTTGTTAAAGGATAGAGATGACATTGGTGCACATGGTTGGTTACTCCTACTGAGTTATTATTGCCCTGAGGTGTAGGCAAAAATATCTTGTCTGTGATATGGATTTTAACGAACTGATTCTTTTTATATATCATTTTCCAGTGAGATTACTTTATTTATTCAAATATTATCAAATATGGATTTATATTATATTTTTTGATTATCTGTTACCAAACTTATTTTTAACTACCTCTGTCCAATATAACTTCATCTTTGCATTCCATTATCTGCAGTTTGAATAAACATTAGAGAACAAATGATGAAACATACATATGTTCTCTAATGTTTATCAGTCAAAACCACCATTGTTTGTTCTACAAGAAATAAATAGATTGCTGTACATGGATTCATCTTCAATTGCGGACTGTTAAAGTTACTGCCAGGGGTCATCACCAGCCCCAGGGTTTACTTGTAAATTGCTCCTATCTGTTACAGTGATCATTGATGATTCCCTGATGGCTATTAATTGATGTCAATGGCTTCACTGTTCACAATCTTATAAGCCAATCAGTTAAAGATGTCATGGTTATCTGTCTTTTTTATTTAACTTAATTAAAGGTAAACCAGTACAGTCAGTAATATCAAGGTGATTGAGCTCTGAGGAGCCATAATTAAATTTAACATGGACAGTGAGGAAGAGGTAATGTATGTGTGAACATAAATAGACACTCCATGGAAGAAGCAAAATATTTGTGAAAATAAATAAAGATACACAGCAATGAAGAAAGCCCAACACAATGTCTTTTAATGCCATCCCTTTATATCCCTTTCACCTTTTCCCTTTGACTAAGACACAAGTGTTAGCTTTGCTAAGCCCAATACACTGATTAAGCTGACTACAAGGCCAACTAAGGCTGTATTCCCAGAGCTTTTAGATCGATCTATCCCCGCGGGGAGTCTCACTAGATTACTGTCAGATAATCCGGCTTAAATGTCCGTCCCGCCTACTACAAGCTGTAAGGGGTTAATTAACTTTAGTGTCCACTCGGCTGACAGCTATTTAGCATGAACCCCCAGGGAGTTAGGTCGATTTAAAGTAGATCGACCTTATCTCTGGAAATGGGGTCTAAGGGGTATCAGCTAAGGGGTATCAGGTCCTTGTTTAAGTGATCATTCTGTTTTGAAGAAATCTTGATACACCCTTGCCCTAAAGTTTTAAAGCAATGCAATTTATAATGTGAAATATATTGTACATTGTGTGTGTTGATATATATTTCAGGTGGTAGGAAGAGCGTGGACTCTCGACAGTCCAGCGACAACGATGTGGACACACCAGAGAACATGAGTGTGGTCAGTGAGAACTGGTCGACAGAGAGTATACCTGAGGATGGAGGTCAGTATATTGATGCACCACTACCACCATTCAAACCTGCATCTGGAAACGGTGTTCTCACATTTGAACACAATACATATATTGCATGAACAAGTACGTGTGTGTGCGCGCGTGTGTGCATGCGCGCACACATTCCCTCAGTTTTTTCATCCCTTCACTGCTTTCTTTACCTCTCAGATTCCTTTAGCTTTTAGACGCTTATCACTAGATTATAAACTGATAAAGAAGAGAATGATGATCCTCAACTTAGTTAAAATACTGTTGTGCCCGACATTTAAACTCTTTAGTGATGAAGATATGTGACCTCTGTTGACCAAAGTTCAAAACAAAGTCAAGATCTTGATATGGATATAACATGTAAATGGTGGGTTAGGTTGTCAAGTGCTTTTGCTGCTTGGATTCTTCTTTTGTTTACATTTAATGTGCAGTATCAGCATGGCAAAAATCCTTTCCCCACAACTTTCAATGCCCTTGTCTGTTAAAAGGATATTAATATATTTTTTATCCCATGTTACATGTAAATTAGGTGTAATGTGTTGAGAGACATTTAACCTCCACCCCCCACCCCCTCTTCAACCATTACCACATACATAAACAAAGGAGAGAATAACAAGTCTGTTTGATAACTTGATAAGAATTAACTGATAAGAAATGTGTACCTGAGTGAAATGAAGAATTCTGCCTTGCTCAGTATATTATTCATGTTTCCTGCCAGATAATTCATCTCCCATTTATAGAAACCACACCGTTAGGTTTATGGAATGTCAATTGCCAAATTACTAGTGTCATTTTATATGTGTATGATTTAGAAATACTAGCTCCACTTTGGAATAAATTTGTATGGGCATGATGTTAACATAAGATATTTTCTGAACAAATGGGACCCTTTCCTTAAACTTTATTTGGCATTCTGCACGCCTAAAACAATATATAATCTCACAGAAATTTAATAGCCTGGATTAAGTACCGTCTACACACTAGCTTCATTACATTAAGATGTACCTTGCATCATATTAATCAGGTCAGATATATGCATGGGCTCTGCTGGAGTGATGTTAAATGCAGCCATGTATAAAACAGCTGTTTGTGTGGTTGGTTGAGGTAATGAATGGAATATATATGTCCTTATAGGCATATATATTTTATACCAGCTACTATTCGTTAATGTTAATTTCACCTGATGGCCAAAGTGCATCTTGACATGTACATTTGCCTGCTCTCTTTAATTCACTGTGCATAACACATGGTGATATGTGATGAATTGGTTATTACACAGTACAAAGATTGTGTCATGTGGTTTCCTTTTAGAAAGTAACATGGAACTGCAGTATGTTTTAACATACCTGAACTGTGGCAGTCTTGTGACATTTGATTTATTATCATGTAAGTGTTGCGTATAGTTGATCTATGCAGTCTGTCTTTCGTAATTGTGAAAAATCTGTGCAGTGCCAAAAAATGGATGTAGAGAATTCTTTCTTCAGTTGCCAGTACTAGTAATTGATTTTTAAATTCATTTTTGTGGCCAACATCTTGAATTTTCACTTTTCAATTTGTAAAATTTTCACTCTGTCAGTTTAACTCTGAGTGTTATTCTTTCTCTCTAAGTGCCACCTTTTCATACCTATAGTCTGTTATTTAGGTAGATTTAATAACAGAGATGGGGGGAATTTGCCATTCTGCCTGAAAAAATAGTGGACTGGCAAGATTTTTGATAAAGCAGGTTTTCTGGACTGGCAAGGTTCACCTGAAAATGCAATACATAAAAATAAACCATATGTTAACACAGGCAAATGGAAATAAAATACTTAGTTTGGACCAGCATAGAATTAGGAAGACCTGCAGAATAAATGTAGTGCAGGTTGTACAGAGCTTCTTTATCTCAAGAGTTTTCTCCATGTGTGTATTAATGCTGGTCAAAAAATTACTCCCCAAAAAATTCTCCATTTCTTAATATATCTTTATGTTCTATTGCAGCTAGTGCAGATGCTGAAGTTGATGAGGTCAGCACACAAGAAAATTTTGAAGACAAGCTCAAAGAATGCATAGAGGGCACCACGGAGAAAAGGTAATTATTTGAAGAGGGGAGAAAGTTTTTGCAGTAACAGTATTTAAAATTTAGAATAAAATCAAAATGCGTAATTAATGAAAGCATTGTTGTTGACCATATAGTAGCAATTTTTTCCTTTAAAATCATCATTTTTAGACTGAAGGAATAATTTAGAAAAAGTTAAAGGTTTGGCAATTTTGTTTATTCAAGTCTCACTGTGTTCTTATACTCTGTCATGGTATCTAATGTAGCAAACATCAGTCTGGGTGGAAATGATAGAAGACATCAGTCTAAATTGTTTATCAAGATATACATTAAGGAAAACTGTTTTACATTTACATTTAGTGCTGAGACCAGGAAGAATTCTATACAAGGAATCATGCAAGCGATGAGGAAAAAGTACACTTTTGATTTCTTTCAGGACAGGTAAGCAGGGGTATCATTATTGTGAACCTTAATTGATTAATTGATCGATTGGTTGATTGGCTGTGAAATTAAAAAAGGGCATCTCATGTCTTTAATGTCTTGTAGAATTACTTTATTGATTGCTGTTGTAATTAGAAGAACGACTATGAACATTCTGTGATAAGATTGTTAACTGTTGCTTTGTTATTGAAGTTTGTATTGATTCAGAAGCAGTTACTTGTTTGTGCTTATGTAAATACTGTTTGAATTGATAAATATCATGTTGGGAGTTTTCAAGAAGGATACTCTTGTCCGCAAATAAATAGATTAAAACACACTAATATGTCATTTTATGGCAATTATCCTGGTAGAATGTTGTAGAATGAAAAGTAACCTTTTGTTATTCTCTCACTGAAGCCAGAGTAATGTGAACTGTGGTGACGAAGGGAATCCCTGTGATTACCATTGATAACTCTTGATGGGATTCATTTTCACCTGTCTCTTGTCTGATTACAGGAAAATGACGGTGACGGACAGTTTAAAGCGCTGTCTCAGTAAGGGCAAGGGTGAGGAGCAGGCACTGGCCGGGACTTGCGTTTCGTTGCTTTGTGTGACCCTGGGTGGGTCTGAAGACTGCGAGGCAGTTTACGAAGAGATTAAACCCATGCTACAAACTGTTTTACTGGACAATTCTGCAGCACTTAAAGCCAGGGCTAGTGTAAGTAAAATATAATCAGGTAAAGACATGATATATGGAGATTTGCGTACTAAGGGCCATTGACATCATACTCTCACCTTGTTTAAGTGCAACTTAAAGTCATTTTCTATATCAAGACACATAACTTGTATGTTCATCTTTGTTCATAAAGTGTTTATTGGTAATTTGATGATGACTAAGTAGGTGTAAATAAGTTAAAAACAGGTTCACAATTTGAATATTTATAGAAACTTTTTAAATTCAAGAATTGTTAACAAAGCATGGTAATTTTAACAGTAAAAATGACATTGATGGTCAGTAGACAACAGGAACACAAGATTGATGATATTATTTCAGACACATCATCTTTTTGTACTAAAGCTCTCTTTTGTTTGGGTTTCAGTGTGCTACAACTCTTGGCTTATGTACATTTGTCTGTGTTGATGATGTCATGGTGAGTTGTTAACATGGAATAAATTGCCTGTAGTGAAAAGTAAAATAAAGAAGTAACTGATAACTGCAGGCTTAGAATTGTATAAATCTTTTGATAAAAATTTGCACCAGTAAGAGACATTGTATGAAACTTCATTTTGTGACATTTAAAAGATTATGTTTAGACTTCATTTATAACAAAATGGCTTCATTTAGGAAAATTGATGATAAGAATATGTTTATGGTATCTGGAAATGTTCATTGGAATGTAGTTCAGTTTCTAAAAAATAATAATAATTTTAAAATTGTTATTTTTCATTTCCAGCAAATCCGAGCTGTGATGAATACTCTAGAATCTGTGTTTAAAGCTTCCTATTTCAAAGGCAATGGTGTGGCCCCGACTCACTCCCCGGAGGTGGCCTCTCTCCACTGTAGTGCTCTCTCAGCCTGGACACTACTGCTCAGTATATCTCCCCCATCTTATGTAGAAGAGTTTATTGATAGGTGAGGGTTGGTTGGGACCTTGACTAATCTTACAGATTTAGATATGAGAGAGAAAGAGAAGAGGTGGTCTCTACTTGTTTAATTTCGAATAAGTTTAAAGTTTTAAATAAAGCTTTAAAAATATTTATCTTAAACAATCTTGTTATAATAGTTTGGATTAGTATAAATATTTATGGAAAGAATTGTTTGTTGTTGTATATTAAACCTGACGCTGAAGTAATGCTTATGAAAAGAGACCTTTCAGTGTAAAGTGTATTAAATCTTTTGGTTAGCTTATCCAAAAAGCCGGTTAATTATTATTTTCTAAACTTTCCATTTCTGTATTTCAGTCATTTATCCAAGCTTCCCCAGCTGTTGATCAGTAGTTTAGTAGATCTTAGGATAGCTGCTGGAGAGGCTCTGGCGTTATTGTATGAGCTGGCAAGACAGGATGATGAGGTGAGGGCAGGGCATATAATTGTCTTATATCAGTAGTTAAGTAGATCTTAGGATAGCTGATGTAGAGGCTCTGGCATTGTATCAGCTGGCAAGACAGGATGATGAGGTGAGGGCAGGGCAGCATGGGAGGGGGGCTTGACAACAGTCTGATAACAGTTATGCTAGTTTTGTTATTCCTTGAGTAAATTAATGAGTGAATATTCTCATTCAACCAGTATTAGTAAATAAAGACAAAGAAGAGAAACTGCGGCTGGAATTTACTTTGTGTTTTACAGGGTCAGTTCAGATTGCAAGTTGGTTTGTTATTATTTAAAGGTCTTCATGTTGATATCTTGAGCTAATTGTTTAAATATTTTCATAAAGAATGTCAGATATCACAGTGAATTTAATATATTATATCCAGTAATGTATTTGTCCCACTGTTCCAGGAGTTTGAGGGGGATGACATGGACTCCCTTTGTGCAATGTTGAAGGGGCTGGCCACTGATAGCCAGAAGTTTAGGGCAAAGAAAGACCGGAAACAACAGAGGTCAAGCTTCAGGGACATCCTGAGGACAGTGGAGGTAGTATTCAGAATTTTATTAACTGTTTTACTGGGTTTTTGTTTTCTAATAATTTTTGGTATGGCTTTCATGTAAAGGGATCAAGATGTTTGTTAACAACATTTCTTTATGTTATGTCTTAGGGTGTTTGAAGAAAGTGTAAGTAATGTAGACAAAGTTTCGTCAAAGTTGTGTACCCCTTTTCTCTTCAAACTTAGAGGTCTAATTGCTAAATAAGACAGTTAACTTAGAGGTAGAATTGCTAAATCAAACATTTATTTATCTTTGATTAATTATTTATTTACCTCTAGGATGGGGACTTCCCTGATGAGACTGTGAAGTTTGGTGTACATGACGAGAGCCTGTACATAGACAGCTGGGTGAAGAAAGTCCAGTACAACGCTCTCTGTCAGGTCATGGCCACAGGGATGAACACACATTTACAGGTGAGTTGTAATCTCCCCACACTCTCTCTCCCTGCTCCTCTCTCTCTGTCGTGTGTTTATTTTAAATTGGTAATGTTATTATTATTATTTTTATTTATTTATTTATTTATTTATTTATTTATTTATTTATTTATTTATTTATTTTTTCACATGGAACATATTTCCAGAATACATGACTGTATAACAGCTCCGCAAATGTTTCTGCTGCCATGTGATTTAAAATGGTTGCAATTCATTTGGGGTTCAATGTGGCTTTTTTAGATCAAGGTTTTGTACAGCTGTACATCTTTTGCACCTACAGCTTATCCTAATAAGAATCCTGAAAAACACTTGGTTTGATTATTGATTGATTTGATATCAGATATAATCTACTACATTTCAGTATCCTTGGTTATAATGTTTAAACCTGTAGTATACTCCTGGTCTCTGTATTTCCAGGAGAATGTTTTAATCCGAGATATCTTTGGCCTGGGAGCCCCCATCCCTGTCAGTACCCTCCCCAAGACTAAGATCCACAGATACGAGAGGGTGAGTAGACTGGTACACAGAAGGGAGTTGGTGTATTCAATATAAAACTTTATATATATTTATTTATTTTTGCATAATTCCAGGTGTATTTTGAGTTGCAGTCATGTTATATAGAACTCTGATTCATTGGCAAAATAACATGTGCATGTAAGATTGATCACTTGTATTGAGAGTCAGTAAATGGTAAAAATTAAACAGCTTGAGATAATAAGTCAAGTGAGATATCTGTCATGTCATTGTTTGACTGCTTGTTTCCAAATACTTCACCTTTTAGTCTTTTTACGTCTGTTTCATATGTGATGTAGCCATAGTTACTACTTTTCATTCAGTTTATAGTGAATAAAATGAAAAAAGGGGAAATGTGTGTTTGTTAAAAAAAAAAGGATGCAGGATATCTTTCAATTTGTAAGTAAATGCTGGTGAGGGATAGTCTTTTGTTTTAAGGTTATTTAATTCAACTGATTTCTGTTTCAATCCCATTGAATGTCATTTAGTAATATTTATGACATCTCCACCTTGTTTTATTTTCAGCATTTAATGAACACTGCTGTTGCCAAGGCACGTACCAAGGTCCGGGCAAAGACCAGGGATAAAAGGACTGTATCCGTCAGCTCAACAGGATAGTATATGTCTGCCGCAGAGGATAATATCCATCAGTGCCACTAGATAGTGTTCATCTGATTTCTGGATGATATCCATCAGCTCCTCTGGATAGTATCCCTCAGCTCCTCTGGATAGTTTCCCTCAGCTCCTCTGGATAGTATCCATCAGTGCCAATGGATACATAAACATGTTGCAGACAGTCACTGAAGTCAAAGTGGTCTGAATTCCTTGAATAACATACCCGATGTTCTCCAAAATCACATGGTGATTTTTGTTGGAAAAAGAAGTGAAGAGATCTTTCATTATATCATAAAATATTTGGCTCAAGCATGGGGGTTGCCGTATGGTTAATTGAAAATCCATAAACTATTGGTTTGGCACAATAACACAGTTGAGCTTAAAATGCTCATCTCAAAAAAAAAAAAAAAAATGTCAGAGTGACTGGTGAACATATATTGAACGTATATTGTGGTCATTCATTTTTATGGTACTGGTCGCTGGTCAAGCACACTAGAGATGGGCAGTAGACTGAGGACTGCCTTCTTCATTTTGGACTGATCTCATCTTTTCACCATTACAACCAGTAGTGTAGAATATCTCATGCCTGTGTCTGCATGTTAAAAACGACACGGTGATGTACCAAGCTACTGGCTGCAAGTCACCTACTGACATTTTAGTATATATTGTTTTCTGTTAAAATTGTACTCAGTTAAGGTTTCGATGATTTGTGAAGACAAAATCCTCTGGTTGCACTTTGAGGTCTTGTTGTGTGTTTAACGACTGCTTTTTGGTGTGTGTTGAGATAAAGAAAGTAGTAGCAGATTATTCAGTAGGTAAATCAACTTTAAAGGAGTACTTCTCTTTAATTGTTTACTGCTTGCAGGATTGTATTTATCTAGTGTCAGTTTACAATCGGAACCTTAGCTCTAGAATTTAGATCTGCACAGATGACTGGGAGGAATCTTAACACACCAAAAGTGATCCAGCTGAGATATTTTGATCAGATTTTTTTCAATAATGGTTTGTTAGATTGGTATATAACAGGGCAGTAGGGCAACTTGCTTACTTTATATTTTCCTTTTGAAAAAGACGATATGCATAGTAAAAGATTTAATCAAGGTCGTGTGCTTTTAATTCTGGCACTGATTACAGTTCGGTTTCGCGCACATAGGAAAATCTTTGTTTCACGTATAAGTGACAGGTGACAGGAGGGAAATAAAAATGTCACCTGAACTTGGGGTGGTTTAGGTCTAAAATTAACAATATTTTGGTGCCAAACCATGCTATAGACCTGTTTATTGCTCACACTAGTGCTAAGGACGCAAAATTTGAATCATGACAATATACAAGGTGATTATGAACTCCAGTCAAAATTATTTTGTGACCAGTTGTATAATGTTAACTGTTAAGGTCCCAGAGGATTGATGGATTATTAATTATTGGTAATAATGTGTGATAAACGGTGTTATGAGTCGCACTCAGTCCTGGAACTGCGACACTTATTTATTGGATTAGTAGGTATTTTACTGTTATTTATTACTTTTATCCCGCAAAGAGAAACGCAAGGATGCAATATTACTGTCACTTGAGTAATATGTTCGTCTTGAGCTATTTGGTGAATATATTCTTTCGTTAAACATATGTTTATGCGTGTTGCATGTTGTCTAAAAAATTTGGGGAAGTAGTATAGAAACCCAATACACCACTCATTGTCTGGTTTGCGTAGGTCTATATCTATTTAACATCGATGACTGCAGTGAAGTTCACGTGCGTATACAATGCATGTGACAATGCAGTAATTATAGATTATCTGCGTGACGGACATCACTGTTATACATTGAATTGAGTTGAAAAATAAATCAATATGCTATATTTGTTTAGCTTTTTTTTTCTAATCGAGAAGACACTCGTCGTGAGAACGCAAAGAATTTAATTAAGAGATGCAACTATAAAATGCTCTTGAATATTTTGTAGCTTTTTGTCGATTGTTTTTGAAGAAAGGCGTCATCGCGGTCGCTGACATTGTGGTAGTTGAGTCAACGTTAGTACAAGTGATTGTTTTTTATATAAGATAGGTCTTTTGTTTGTAATCTGCATTTAGAGAATTGACCAGCTATTTAGCGTGAGCCCCCAGGGAGTTAGGTCGATCTAAAGTAGGTCGATCTAATCTATGGAAATGGGGTGTAGGCTTAAGGGTTAGTTGGAGTACTGGAGTTAGTATATGGGATAAATGTCACCAGTATGAAGAAATGGGAAGCAGACTACGGTTCCTAGTGGACTTTCATTCCTGTCACACCGGAACTGAAAATAAAAGGCTATACGGACATTTATTGATTTACTTTTTGATGATATAATGTGTATATAAAACAACCAGGTCTTCGGACTGTGCAGTGCTGCCATTAAATGTTTTTAGACGTCTTATCTGAATTTTAAATAGACATTCAAGAGAGTAGTATTTGTTTTCAGGTCTCAGGGGAAATGACTGACTGTCATCGGAAAAATATCAAGGCCTTGAGAAATAATTTCAATTTTTCTCATCAACAGCAGGAAACGTTGCCTTAGCATCAAGCCTAACGACTGATTTAGTGGGTACCTTGTCGCATTACTATCTCTGTTTTAAGGCAAACAAAAAATCTTTAATTCTTTTGATCTCAAGTGGCCGAGTGTCCAGAAATGGTGACAAGACTTTAATCAAATTTTAGTTCCAAAAATAAAAAGGTCATTATTTATCTCTTTATAGATTACATAAAGGGCAAAGGAACACCCAACTCGCAGTGAACGATCTATAAATATGTGATTCAACATGACCTGCTTCCCGTATTGGCCGTATCTTTCTTAAAAGCGTATATCGACAGTCCAGATGACAAACTTGTCGAGTATTTGTGTTGGAAGACGCATCACTCATCACCTAGCTATAGTTGAATGTATAGCAAGGTTAAGCTGTAATTATGGTGCCAATACGAGTTCTCCTCACAGGATATTTTGTCAGTATATGCTGTATACAACTGGTAGCAGGCTTGGTGCAGTGTCCTAGCAACTATGTCCGTTTAGAATCATCTTGCTTTCGTTTTGAAAGGTCTCGACAAATGAACTGGGACGCTGCACGCCGTCAATGTGAAAGCGAAGGAGCTCATTTAGCTGTCGTAGACACGTTATCCAAAAGGGACACTTTGCTAAGCTACATAACCGGCAGAGGAAGTAAGTACGGGTGGGGTGTTTATTTGCCTCATCCAGTAAAAATTATTTTACCACAAAATTCTGATTAAAATGTAGTTCAGAAAAAGGGCATCGTTTTTCGTACCATGCATTTCAAGAAATGATTCTTGATAATCATATATAAACTAAAAAGTTTACCCTGCCCTTTACATCTTGTAAACAGACTATGGGTTATGAGACGTTCCGTCATTTAGCTCAGATTAATCCATCGAGTTTTTGGAAACGTGCTCACATTATTTCGCACAGTCTCTGCTCACCCTATTATTACATTCTAACATGAAGCCTGCCTGATATTTTTCCATCAACTTTACGCAAAGCATCATGATATCAAACAATCCTAAGAGCAATTTGATTAAAAGGCAAATGAACATATTTCTCCTATAGATAAATGCTTTACGTAAAATTATATTTATGTGCCTGTTAATCTCTCATAAAGAATAAACACGAACGGGCATCATCGAAGAATGATTTCTCTTCTGTGTTTTAGTGTATTCGCTTTTCTGGGTTGACGGCATAGAGCCCAAAAATGATGGAAACTGGATATGGTACTCTAACAACACACCCATAAACAGTTCGTTGTGGCTGCCTGGTGAACCCAATGACCTCAGCCGGGAAGATTGTATGCATTTTTGGGTTGCGGATAACGTATTAGGATTAAATGACATAAGCTGCAGTGAAGCGCTCCACTATATATGTGAATCTTATCCAGGTAAAATTAGTTCCATGAACATGTAAGTTAACATGTCAGTGCTAAAGATAACTTTAAAAAATCTACTCTCCCACTTCTGCCACCCGGAATGTTGTGTAAAAGAAGTATTTTTATCGTAATTTTGTAAGTACTGTTTCTTTTTTTTTTTTTTTTCAAGTACTGTAATCACCAAAGTATTTATTTCTACAATGTGTGTACTTTACCCTTTGAAACCGTGTTTTCTACCAATTTATTTCCTAAACAATCTAAGAGCCGTACGCGTCCTCTTTGGCAGGGCACTTTTCTAGTACTGAATAAGAAGTGTGTGCACACACAATATAAAAAGCTTGTAATAAAATTAAGTCAAACAGAAGCAAAATAGTCTTCATGAACGAATTCGAAGAAACTCAGAGTTTGTAAAATAGGACACATGTCACACATGAGATATAAGATATGTAAATGCTCAAAAGTGCATAAGGCTGGATTGATATATGAAACAAAGATTCTTGGTTTGTTTTAAGTTTTGTAAATTACCTGAGTGTATAATGAATATCAATGTTGCTCAGAATCTTTACATTTTATGTTGCTTTTCAATGTTGCATATATTAAGTTTTATTTCAGATGGAGCTTGGGGTTCTTGTTTATCACAAAAATTGATTTTTAATACTGCAATACAGATTGAGTAATTTTTTTGTAAACTTTATTTCAGTAAGGACTTGGGGATCCTGGGGTTCCTGGGGTTCATGCTCTGTAACGTGCGGTTCACAAGGTCTAAGGTCCCGTACTCGTGTATGTGAAAACCCCGCACCTGTTGGCACCGGAAAACCCTGCCCTGGAGCTGACAGACAAACTGAAGTGTGTTATCCTCCACCGTGTCCTAGTAAGTAGGCTGCTGACAGGTTATCTCTGCTGAGATTTCTTATCTGTATGTAGAAGTTACATATTATTAATTTTTGCTTTGCACCGGCCTCTGCTTTTTATTTGACTTACACTTCAATTAGCATTTTTCCATTATACACCTATTGTTGAGGAAGCTAAAACGGTTTGAATAAATTAAACTTTAAATGAAATAAAAACTGCGCCGTAAGTTACAAAGTTTATAATCCTTCTTGCTCTTCTGTCTCGGGACAAATGAAAATTTGCAAATGACCCATTCGTCAGATCGAGTAAAATATTTTGTAATGACTGATGACACTCATCAAACAAATCGAATTAATTTTATAATCATTTTTAGCCTGTCAGGTACATAATGTTCCTGGGGCTACTACCTCGGTATCTGCGGCAAGGATATATGAAAATGAATACGTGAAGTACCACTGTCTACCGGAACATACACTGATCAGTGGGAGTTTGAAAAGAACATGTCAGGCTGACGGCACTTTAACAAACGAGGAGCCGCAGTGCAAAAGTGAGTAAATGGAATATTTGCCAAATCATTGCAATATACTCATCGTTTTCTTGTTTATCATTCTGGATATTACGATGGCTTTACTAATCTACATATCTCTTTCATAAAATATATTTACAACGTCCCAGTTCCAGCTCATATCTTTTTTAATTATCTATTTTTGATGATGGGAACTAATTAATTACTTTATTTAATTGTTATCAGAATGCTGTGGAAAGGCACGTTACATCGTGAACGGCTATCCCGACACGCCTGCCTCCTTGTGCTATGGTGATCATGTCAACTATCTGTGTGACAGAGGTTACAAGTCCTCAAACAGCACACCTATCGTCTGCTCGTCACCCTACGAATGGAAGTACTTACCCCTGCCTAAATGTGAACGTAAGATGAGATAATCGCATTTACCATAATATCTATTTACTGCATAATGATTAGTACCTGACGCATTTTACGGTCTCTTCTGTTATTTACTGGATCATCTTTTTTTTCTATATTCGTAGCATTGCCTTAGACGAGCTAAATGCATTTATAGATAGTTTGTATTAAGACATAGAACAAGGAATCCAAATCCAAATCGTTAATAAGTGCCCCTGAGCTGATTTATATTTCAACTTCAGCCGATGGAGAATGCGACTCGGCTGATATCGCAGCTCCCCAAGACGGCTATAAGGCGTGTTCTGGGGACGAACTAGACAAAGTGTGCTACATGCATTGTTCCAACGGACAGCAATATACAGGGGGACATGACGTGTTTGAGTGCAGCGTAAAGACTGGCTGGGAATGGAAAGTGCGTCTACGAGGAAGCACGAGCTATGTGCGCAGCAACATAGGGACGTGTCAAAGTGAGAAAGATGACTCTTTTGTAATGGCAGTATAAAATTATAATAATAATAATAATGATAAGATTCTTATATGGCGCCTTACATTTTATCTCAAGGCGCCTTACAATAATGGCTAATATACTAAAATATATAAAATGACTACAATATTTTAATCGTAAACTCTCATTGGAAACCATTTAAAATTTACACTACTAAAAATCAATCTTATTAAAAAACATATATATATTAAAATAAAATCTAAGAGATATAGACAGAATTAAAAATGTGGGTCTTTAAAAGAGATTTAAAATTGTCAAAGTCTTCTGTTTTCCTAATAAAATTTGGTAGACCATTCCACACTTTTGGGGCGTAGATTATAAAAGCACGATCTCCATAACTTTTTAGGCACCCCTTCTCTAGAACAGAATGTTCTAAAATAAAATCATTCTCAGTATTAAAACGTGTGGACCGCCGTGGTAGGTTTAAACAGATAAGATCAGATAAATATAATGGTCCTTGTGAATGGATCGCCTTAAAAATAATACAAAGTACTTTAAAATCAATCCTCTGCTTCACAGGCAGCCAGTGTAATTCTTTCAGAATGGGAGTGATATGGTGTGTACTATTGTACTTAATTTGACAAACCAGTCTTGCAGCTGAGTTTTGAATAACTTGTAACTTTTTAATCTGATAGTCACAAATACCAAAGAGGAGACTATTGCAGTAATCTAATCTTGATGATATAAATGCATGTACTAATTTTTCAGTGGTTTTGTTATCTAACACTTTTCTTATTTTTCCAATGCGCCATAGTGCATAAGATGCTGATTTACACACTTCAGATACACGCTTGCCCATGTGCCATTTTCATCGAGGGTAACTCCCAGATCTTTTACAGAGCTAGATGATTTTATAAGAACATTTCCTATGCAAATGTTGGCATTTGCTACAATTTTTTCTATTTGCCTTGAACCTTGATGTAAACCATATCAACTCAGTCTTACTATCATTTAAAGCCAACATGTTCACTTTCATCCATTCTCGAATCTCTGCAAGACAAGACTCCATAGAACGATTGTTGCAGACTGGCTGCTCTTGCATGTAATATATACTTGTGTGTCATCTGCAAAAATAACAGTGTTCAGACCATGCTTTAGTATGATATCTTCTACAGGTAACATGTATAATGAGAATAGGATCGGACCTAACACAGACCCTTGTGGGACACCTTACTCCAAGTTAACTGGCTGAGATAAAACCGACTCTATTGAAACCCTTTGTGTTCTGTTTTTCAGGTAAGAGGTAAACCAACTAAGTGCAAGTCCATTCACTCTAAAACGATGCTGCAACCTGTGAAGAAGAATATTATGATCTATGGTATCGAAAGCCGCTGAAAGGTCTAGAAGAACTAAAATGACATCTCTTTGTTTATCCAGGGCAAGCATTATGTCGTTGTGGACTCGAAGTAGAGCTGTCTCAGTGCTGTGGCCTTCTCTATAGGCAGACTGGAATTTTCCAAAGAGTTTATTTTCAGATAGATAGCTGCTTAGTTGGGAACATGCCATTTTTTCAAGAAATTTACCTAAAAAGGGTAGATTTGATATTGGTCTATAGTTTTTCAGGACATTTTTACACAGCCCTTGCTTTTTAAGTAATGCATGGTCTAACAATTGCAGTTTTGCAGTTTGATGGAAAGATACCTGTTGAGAAAGACAGATTTACTAATCTCAGGAGAACTGGAGATAACACACTAATACACTCTTTCACTATATATGTTGGCATGGGACCCAGAGCACAAAACTTAGAATTCATCCGGATCCAGAGCACAAAACTTAGAATTATGTTGATTGCTTTATAGATTTAGAAAGAAGGAAGGTATAAAGTGGTTAATGTAACGTAATTCAAATATCAAACATGTTTTAAGATCAAACTTCACTCCCTCTGGATAACTGATTGATGAGCAACCTGTGATATTAAATATACTTTGAAGTAATTTGGCTGACGTCTTTATTGTCCGTGTATATATTTTTCAGTTTCGGATGATCCGTCGGGTCTGCTCATGTTCCTGACGGGTCCTGAGTTGAGGACATCCTCTTCGGAGCCGGATGAGGCACTGATAGAAGAGATAAAAGATGAAATGATGAAAAAGCTGCTTGCAGCAAATATTTGCACAGATCCTTGCAAGGTACAATGACTTTATTACACAGGACACATAAAGATTGTAACAAAATAAACTGTAGAACTTGTTTTATTATAGACAGTCTTTTTAAAGGAGAGTTATAAAACACAATGATTAAAAAATATGAAAAAATATGAGTCGTTTGGTAAAGGGACGAGCGTTACCTAGGTAAGCGAATACGCAGTACTTTTACTACCAAAAACGTCAAAGCACACAGACATTCACTTGTGAAAAGAAACATTGTAAAATAAAACTTAAAACAGGTACTCGATATAGGACGTAACGGCTGCATTTCAAATATTCCTTGAATGTAGATACAAAATATTGAGGTAGAACAAGCTGTTGGACACGTTAATCGAAGATCAGTTCCCCAAGAAAAATTGTTCAAGATGAAGATCAGTCTGTATGCCGCACCTGCCAAGGGCTCCACCACAACGCAACAATCGACCAGAATTGAGCTCTCCAGAATTATGAAGCTTTTGAGGTAGGCATATTCTTTTTTATCTTCAATACAATTACAAACACAATATATATAAATACAGGGCAATTTCTTTTAAGGTAGTTGGATGTAATGCTAACGGATTTTACACTCAAATTAGTCAAACCCGTTTGGCCTACCAATGATTAGTCTAATCTGCTTTGGACCGTTATTGAAAAGTTATGGCTGTTTATACATGTTATTAAAACCTAACCGTTTCATTGCTAAAAAGACATTCAAATAGGTACTTACATATGTATTTCTTACAATCTTTAACAAAAATTAAAGGAATGTTGTGACATACATTTTGTAGCACAAAAGCCGCAGCTTTAAAACAAGCCATAACCTCACAGGCAATTACACTAGAAATAGATGGCGCTCGTGTAACAGTTAAGGGGGATAACATCCAGATTTCAAGGCCATCCCTGGTGTGTCTCGATGGATCTATTAGGAAAGGCTTTGACTGTTGTAAGTCCTGTCTAGATTTTTTGTTATAAGTCACTGAATCACCTCTATTTATTTTTGTAGGATATGGAACGTTCTGCGTAATCAATTTTATGAATTTTGTAATATTGCACGGACTAGATAAGTAATTTCTGCTTCACGGAAACTCCGCTGAATTACAATATTCTGGAATGTTCCGTTATCGACTTAAGCATTTTATACATCATGCATTTTTTAAATCCCCAGTTTAACTTCCAGGAACGCTAGTTTTGCGGTTAAGTCATAAATGATATGTTTGTCGTTTTGTTTGTTGTAAAACAATATTTCTTCAAAATTTACAGTCACCTGTCCTGCAGGCACTTACCATGATTTAGCTGATAAGCAGTGTGCGTCATGCCCATTTGGACAATATCAGGACCAACCCGGTCAGATGTCCTGCAAACTGTGTCCGAACGGCACCACCACAGACAGATTAGGAATCAGCAACTCGTCCCAATGCAGAGGTATTCCTTATGTAATCTAAACGGCCTTTGCGTTATTGCTTGTATTACCCCTTTCTAAAATATTCTTCATATAACTTGTGTTATACATCGCATTAACTGTATTTCAATAATCATTCAGTATACATGTTCGTGTTTATTTGTCTTCTTACAGAATACGAGGGTTGTAACTGTGGTATACACCCGTGCATATTAAATGGTACAGCCTTTGAATGCAGTTGCCTACCTGGTTATAAATCTGACAACGGAACCTGCATCGGTAATGTGCCTTTGATTGTCTATGAGAAACAATAAAGGATGACTGTCGTAATGGCAATTTATTCACTATTTAAGCTAAAAATATGTATATAGTAACATATAATACTGGAGCAATTTGATGAAATGAATTTTCATATTATGATTATTTAGCTGAAAACGGCGTACGTAGTCAACATGCCTTGCATCATGTTTACAGGTAATTGTTTTGACATTAGTGTTTATAACATCACCGAAGATTGCATTTCATTAGTACGACTGTTTCTGTGTCACAGATATCGATGAATGCCTGTCAGACATATGTCCAGCGAATTCCAGGTGTATCAATAAGGAGGGGTCTTACAGGTGTGAATGTCTACCTGGATATGAAGGGGAATATTGTACAGGTGTGGTACAACGACAGTACACCTTATAGCGATCGTCTCTGAGAAAAGTGAATAAATAGATAAATAAACAAACCAACAAACAAACAAATAAATAAATAAATAAATAAATAAATAAATAAATAAATAAATAGTAAATAAATGGGTTAAAATAAATTAAATAAGATAATTTAAATTAATAACCAGTGTTAAATCCAAGAATTTTGGCCATATATTGTCATACAACACACACTAAAACATTTTATCTGTTAAAATATGTGCGTAATTTGACATAAATATTATGAGAAATAAAACCTTGATAAAATGTGAACTGTTGCAAAAGACATTATGCCCCAACAAGGGACAATGAAAATCCTATTTCACCCAGTAAATATGTTTTCAGATATCAACGAATGCAAGTACCCCGACAGCTGCCCCAACTCTAAGATGCTGTGTATGAACACAGTGGGGAGTTATAGCTGTACATGTCCAAGTGGGCTGTTTGGAGACAATTGTGGTAAGTGCGGGAAATAATAAGATTTGAAATTACACCTGAATTGAGGAACTTACCACGGTGTGTTTTAGGATGAGGTTTTTGGAAGGATATTGTACCCTCGTTTTTCGCGCAGTTTAGTGCGATGTATAGGCTCTTCATTAATAACATATTGACTTTGCCTTTATTGAATAACTGCTTTAAAAGACGCTATTCAAATTGTAGCCTTCTGGCATGTTCAACGAAATTATATCAACCCCATATTTAAACTGATATTTCAGACAGTAAGTGTCCCCAAAATTCCACCGATACCGGCAACAGCTGTCTGTACATTTCGGACACTATGGTCAGTTACAGCGGTGCATTGAACTTATGTGGAAATTTCCACGCAGGAGCGCATTTGGTTGACGTGAAAGATAAGATATCGTTTAAACGGTTAACTTATAACCTGCAGTCAAAGAGATATTGGATGGGTGGGTATTTGCGTGTAATGTACACCTTTCATGTGTTGCCTTCAATGCTGTTGCTACAGTTGTCTCTTTTGTTCTCGTTATCCATCCGTATATAGTGATTGTTCACCTCTACCTTCCTCCGTCACCACCACTCTTACTACTGCATACTGATCTTTTCGCTTCGCTTACAGTAACTACATATGTGCTACAGGCTATGTTAATCGACAAGGTTATTTGATGTATAAACATTTATTTTACTAATTCAGATTTATAAATTACTTCACTATAATACTAGATTCTCTATCTGATGTACCAATGCATTCTTCTGTGCCAATTAATTCTTATATTTTTACTGTTTTATTTGAACTTGTGTTTAAGTTATGAATCTGCTGTCTGTTTCAAGTTTACCAAAGCATTAGTTAAGTATATTATCCATTCGCGTCTTTTCTACCAGGTCTTAACGACATGGCTGCTGAGGGACAGTTTGTGTACAGTGATGGGACCACGATGACGTCATACAACGAATGGGGAAGTCGGGATTCAGTTCCGCCTTCTAACGATCGTGGCAAGAACTGCGTCATCATGGACGGCGGGGCAGCTTTCACATGGAGTGTTGTTGATTGTGACGACCTGAATTTTGCAATCTGCGAGTTTACACAAGTGTAAATGTTGACTTCGTAAAACATTTATATTGACGAAAAACACTATGATTTTGCCTCCAAATTACATTCTCACCTCTAATTAAAGCTGAAATATCAAAGATGAAGTATGGTTCTGAATTCTGTAAGACGGCCCACAATGTAGACTACTCTGCTTTTCTTAATTTTTTTCCAATATTACGTCCAATTAAGTTCCACAACATCCAAGCATTTGGCAATACAGTAGTCGCAGTGAAACCTTCTTTACATCAGGAATTTACTGTAATACACCAACGAGTTGTTAACACTACGGTATGTCGAACAATTAAGATAAAATGGATAAGAACTGCAGAAAAAATCCACGTAAGCAGGATGTGATAGGCATCTTTTAAATAACACGTAACATGTATAGCCACTTTATGCTGTCCAATCAAAATATTTTTATAGAAACATGACATTGCATTAATCTCATGCATAAAAGTGTTTTCTTCAAACTGTCGCCCGATTTAAATTGATTATACTTAATTCAGATTGAAATTAGTTGACATAAAGGAAATAAACACGTGAACAGTTCATGCTTGTGTTTGTTATTTTTGTCCTCATATTTGAGGAAGACCCCGTCTAGATAATGGTGTAATCTGTAGCATTATAATTAGAGTATCTATATCTGCTAAATTTTACTGCTACCACCAAGTAGCATTTGTGGTGCATAAACCTGAGTTTTGACATCAGATATAAGTATTTACACGTGCTTCCTAAAGATGGGTTATTCCTCCGTACCTCTGGCTAATTTTCAACGGCGGAGTAACGTTCCATAAAAAGGGATTTAAGTGAAGGATCTAACAGTGTGAATAAAGATGCAGAGGTCATCTTTACTTCCACTTAAAGACTGTGTGAATAAACACATGTTGTCTCTTAAAATGTATAAGATCTCAAGCATTGCGACTCGGCATTAAAAGCTACATGAAGACTGACGCAAAATTATTTCAAGCACTTCAAATGAAATGGCATCGTCTTCGTTTTATTTAGCAGTAGCAACTGTTGTTGTTGTTTGCTGCTGCATACCATTGAACCGTGGGGCAACGGAATGTCCCCCGGGTTATTTGTCTCTAGCATCATCGTGTTTTCGCTTTGAAAGTAGTCAGGTGACGTGGGAAGAGGCTAGACAACAGTGTGAAAATGTAGGGGCCCACTTAGCTATATTAGACACAGTGGACAAAAGAGACATCATACTAAATTACGTGAAAAATAATGGAGGTAAGTAAATAAAATGATTGCTTTATTTTCATTTGAAATCAACAGATTTTGAATTATTTTCTGTTTCTCAATTATGTTTCTTAGTGTATTTTACTTCTATCTTTTAAAATTACCCCGTTGGTTTTTAAACAGTAAATCCAATACTTTTCATGGTAAAATATACAGGTAAGTTGAGATACACAAATCTACAAAATGGAAACAAGACAGACATCATAGAAGTTAGTTTGATTCATGCATCAAAAGTTGGCAGAGGAATATGCTATTGAATGTTGAGATAATCCCCAAATATCTGATTAATGATAAATGATATATTGTTATCCATTCTAGGTGGAAGATACTGGCTGGATGGCAGGGAACCTTGGCTAGATGGACGTTGGATATGGTACTCAAAGAAAACTCCAGTTGACCAGAATCTATGGGGAAAGGGAGAACCGAATGATTGGAGCGTGCAAGAGGCGTGTATGCAAATAACACATTCATTTGTTAACGATGTGCCGTGCGATTATACATACCCCTTTCTTTGTGAAATTAATATAGGTATGAATATGAAAATATACTGAAAGTTTTAAACATAGAAACACCTTAAAATAGTATTAATCTCCATTTTGTATTTAAGATTAACTGAATTCTCTGGTAACTTTTTGATGTTACAGTAAAAAAAAACTAGTTTTCAGAGCCAACTTCTCAACCAATAATCATATACATTTGCTTTTAATACTTTGATAGACTTGTTGAGTATATATATATATATATATATATATATATATATATATATATATATATATATATTGGGCTTTTATAGATTTTAAATCTGCCTTTGATAGAATATGGAGAGCAGGGCTATGGCGGAAACCAATGAATCATATTATGAAACGAAAATGTCTGACCGTCATTGTAAACATATATAATGATTTCAAATCTAAATGTTACTAAACGGTGAATTTTCGGAAAACTTTCTATGCATAATAAGAGTACGACAGGGTGAAAACTTATCCCCCTTTCTATTGACAGTACTTTAATGTAACCTTTTAAGTACAAAATACGCTAGAAGCTTACAGATGACGACCTCCACTGTCAGGTGTGTAAATTAGGGACAAAAGTTGAAGGAACGAATAATAAGATGCTTTCTAAGGGTTGTCCTCCCAAATTTTTAAAAAAAAATTACAGCTACTAAAATGTTGGAATATAGTGAACTGTTTTAAGTTATTAGGAATTAATTAAAAAATAAACGGTATGCAACAAAGAAAACAACTAAAGCACAGTGTTTAAGAGAGCAAAGCATCTTAATCTAGGTATAATCTGGGTATAATCTAGATTGATCAGCTAGAACTTTTTTCATGATGTAATTGCCCCACTTGTATTGTACAGCTGTGAAATGTGGGGGTTTGGTGACATAGACATAGGAGAACAGGTGCACTTTGAAATTCTGATAATTTTTATTCGCTATTAAAATTATGCAGGGAAATGAATGCAAGTGGATGAAAAATTTGAAATCTAAGTTTTGAAAAGTGCGGTTTAAGCGATATATTAGGACTAAGGGTGTTTGTAATAAACAATGGCTGAAAACTGTGTTAAACAGACGCCAACGAATGCACTTCGATTTGTAATAACATTAGTACAGGGTTGATTTATAACATCTTTACAAATCCAAAATTCAAGATACATATTTTCTAACAGATACAGTAGTTATCTGTACTTACAGATAACTACAATAGTCTAATTTAGCATTAATAATCATAGGTTACCAATCGATTGAACAAAAATGCCGATAAATATAGGATGGTTTTGATTGTTTAAAGCAGAAATAGGAGACCACTTTAATTATACCATAATAAAGGTAAAAACCATTTATACCATAATAAAAAATAAAGGAAAACAATAGTGCATTTAACAGTGCTGTAAGAAACCTAACGTGGGCGTCAAAATGTATATGTATTTTCCTCCTTGAAAGAACGAAAAGACACGTACTAAATTTCCGTGAGAGGTTTTAGCAGCATCTCATAGTAGAAATCACAATTGGCCTTTAAGCACGTTATTAGTTTTGTCCAAAAACTGTCTTGCGTGCAGTGCCGCATCCATTTATATAAGTAAGGAGTTTTGTTTAAAAAACCTATATAAAGAAAACGTACATTTTCAATTTGAGTAAACGGAGGTTGGGGATCCTGGTCATCATGGAGCACCTGTTCTGTGACCTGCGGTTCACAAGGTCTAAGGTCCCGCACTCGTGTATGTGATAACCCAGCACCTGTTGGCACCGGAAAACCCTGCCCTGGAGCTGACCGACAAACCGAGTTCTGTTTCCCAGGACAGTGTCCTGGTGAGTATAAAATCTTGCAAACAGACTTATTTTATGTAAGGGTACTTATCTGTAAATCCTGTTTGTAATCATCCAGTGGGTTGATTTACGGGAAGGGACTGTTGTTTGTAATTATAATAATAATTTATTGAGCACTGTTCAAAATGTTTTTACATTTAGAGGCTCTCTAGCTACTATACATTATACATATGGAAAGATAGTAAGGATAGTAAGTAAATGAAAGAAAAAAAAATTATACTTATATAATGTTACACAATATACATTCTCTTAATATCCAGGTGAGATGCATGAAATCATTTGTGCACTTCTAGTTAATTACGTTTTTTCATAATTTTACTTACAAAATTCCCTACTGCAATTGCACTCTGTTCAGTGGGTGGGTTTAGAATGATGTCAAGCTGTTTGACCTCGTCTGTTAGACCTTGCAAGTTTACCTCTGGTATGCATTCAAACAGCAATTTCCTTTCAATTTTGTGATGGGCGCATTTTAGGAAAAAATGTATTTCATCTTCTATCTCATTACAATGGGGGCATTTTCGGTCTGAAAGTTGTGTTTTTGGGTTTGTATGCCGCCCTTTTTCAATTTCCAGGTCATGGTCACTAATTCGCATTTTTGCCAAAAGTTTTTTGTGGGTGCGTGAAATATTCATTTTTAAGTATGGTTCGGGTATTGAACAATTATCCAGTGGGTTGATTTACGGGAAGGGACTGTTGTACAGTATAGGTACTTTTTATAACTTTGATATAGACAGAAGGAATAACCAGGGAGTGAAATCTTTTTTTTTTTTTTTTTTTGAGTGGGGGGGGGGAGGGGGAGAAGTTAGGGATAGGAATGTCATGGGTGGAGACAATTTTCCCATTTCAGTGAATGGTGGATGGACTACATGGGAAGGATGGCAGTCCTGCTCACAAACCTGTGGAAGTGGGACCAAACTTAGGTCTCGCACGTGCACCAACCCAGCACCTGCATACAACGGGAAGAATTGCTCTGGAAACAGTTCCGAGACAATACCTTGTAACCTGAAGGATTGCCCAAGTACGTGGATGCTTTTTCTTTGATGTAGCTTTTTAAAGGAATTTTCTAGGTGTTGAAACACTGAGCGTGGCAAAGAGAAGTTTTCTTCATTTTTATCATCTTTGGCCTTTTAAGATTAAAATATATCACTCAAACTCTGTATGGTCTATAGAGGCGAGATGTATACGTCCGGTGTAGAAGGCAATATAGCCTATTACGAACCTGAGAAGACCCAAGGAAGAAGCCTGAAAAAAATTGCTCTCGAGTGGCTGCATTTGGTCACCATTTACTATAGTATAAAATTTTATGTTAACACACGGACGACAATTAATGGCATGGTTAAAAACAAAATGGTTGCATCACAGACATTGTTATACTTAGACACTTGGTGTATCACTTCTAAAACACAAATTTGAAAAACATATGTAGCAATGAAAACGATGAATATGACACAACGGCGAAAGAAAAATAAACAGGAAAGCAAAAATGCTGTTAACAAAGAAGATCGAAATACATGTAACGTTTAGTCACTATGTAAATGCAACATGCAAATGCAATCTGCAAATTTTTTGTCATTGCAGAGTGTGACACATCGGTCTTAAGAGAACCAGGGAACGGTTCCAAGAACTGCAAATCCAGCGTGACTAGTGCAGGGAAACTGTGTCAAATGCGCTGCCACCAAGGATATGAATACATCGGAAGTGAAAACACATTTTACTGTAATCACAACACAAACTGGAACTGGGCGGTGCGACAAAATGGCAAATATTTGCCGTCGGCCAATGTACTTGACTGTCGTAGTAAGTCTGAGTGTTAAAACCAAATAAAATGGGGCGTTGGGTTTGCTCTGCGCGGGCTGAAAAAGTAAAACGACGCAGCAGCTTGTTTAGCGAATATTTTCAAAAACTACATTTGACGTAAGGTTAATGTTTCGTACTTTAACGTTATATTTCACATGCATCTTTTATAATGTTTTTCTTTCTGATTGTAAAGTTGAAACTTGCCTCATATCTGCGAATTCACAATTCTTATTTTATTTCATAATATACAACCCTCCCATACTTGTCTTTTAAGAAAAAAATCTACCCATTTTACAAAGGAAACGATCAATTTTGCATGAACATTAACTCTAATTAATCAAAATGGCAATTCAGTAGTCGACATTTATTTGTCTTAGAGAAAATGTGTCCAGATGGTTTTAAAGCGGCTTCTGACAACTGGTGCTTATTTACCTCCGACCCATTGGCGGGGACGCTTAATTACAGCGATTCTGTTAGATACTGCTCTGCAATGAATCCAGACGCACGCCTGGTAACTATCAAGACCAAGTCTGAGTACCAACAAATTGCCAAACTGCTGATAAAGGATGCCCAATACTGGATAGGTAACTGCATGGGATTATTTCCATTCCTTGTAAACAGATCTTTCGAAAATGACCTAGTGAAACGTTAAACACGAGCTTTATCTTGAAGGCATGTCATCTCATTCTCGAGACTCTTTACGAGTGGAGTTATGTTAAAAAAGACATTTACTGGGAAATTGCGAAGCGTCATAAAACGTTGCACTTTAATTTTTAAAATTCATTTGGCAAAATATTTGTATAAAAGAAGATTTAAGTTTATGATTGCTGTTTTATGATAATGAACGCAGAAAACTATTTTCACAACCTGAATGTATTCATGCAAAGTATTGGATTTACTTTTACACACACTGGACAAAAGAAGTGTCACCCCCTGAATCAGAGTAATCAAAGTTATAATGCATGTCTACTTATAATGTGACTAATGAGTATAAAACCGCTGTACCATGGAATTGTATTGTTGGCCCTTTTGTGACATTTGATGTTAATAAAATGATACCAGGAGCATATCATTCCACTGTCATTTATCTCCGCCAAAGTATTGGTTCAGTTGGGGTGACACTTCTATTGTCCAGTGTGTGTGTAGGTTTTTAGGTCAATGAGGGCGCTTCTGCACTGAACTACACCTAACACTTTACATCTTTTACATTCTAGGGTTAGATGACCGAAGGGACGAAGGTCACTTTGTTTTCAGCGACGGGACATTTCTTGGGACAGACTCCTTTACCGAATGGGCAATTGGAAGCCCATCTGACAGCACCCTCAGCAACTGTGTTTTTATGGACGGGACAGGAGCTGCCTTCATGTGGAGAGATACGCCGTGCAAGGAGAAGAAGGCGTTTGTCTGTGAAATACGTCGTCAAGATGTATCGCCTCCTATTATTGGCTGAATTGATGAAATAATGCAAACTTTTTTAATTATACCAAATCAAGAGAAATTAATTTTTAAACATTTGACCTTGGCTGATGCTTGATTTTTCGTAAGATGAACATTAATTGATGATAATAAGTATAAAATCATGTGGGATCATTTTGGCATTTTCCGGCTTGTGAACATTTAATTGACCTGGGAGATGATTTTGAAATATGTTATGTGCTCAGTATCTATCTATCTATCTTGCTATCTGACTATGATGGACTAATTATGATTTCTTAATTTATTGCTAGGTGTAATTTTGTTTAATTGATAAATAAAGCTAAATTATTTTGCATCCTATGTTATTGATCATGGATGTTGTATACTCCCTTAAGCAAAAATGTGTAACCCCTACCACAATTATGTAAACTACTACAATGGAACCCGTACTTTAAATGTTTCTATTATATAACAATTTGACAACTGATCACCGTGCACATTTGGGATGTGAGTACAGTTAAAGAATGGACCTACCTTGCTTAACTATTGTAATATTCCAACGCCATTTTTACATACACGGCCTCGAAGCGAGAGGGGTACGTTTTAGGAGGGATTTTTGAACGGTAACCAGAACAAAGACCCATGCATCCAACTACTGTAAATGAATTTAAAGAATTATGTCGAGAATATTTTCGTGGACCATGAACACCGATTTATGTTTCAGCATTATTAAGGTATTCCACGTGCAGCCAATGACACTGTAGGCTGGTTATACAGTGGTGGATTTAGTAGGGGGGGGGGGGTCAGGGGGTCCTTCGATTTATGAAAAAATCACACCAATGATATTAGAATTTTTACTAGCTATATCATAGTTCTAAACTGTAAAAATGGCACTGTTTGCCCTCTTAAGTTCCCAAAAAAATTTTCGGGTCCCGAACCCCACGTCAAAAGGGGATGGGGGAGTGAAGGTCGGTTCGTATCCGCAGACTCCCCCCCCCTTTAAATAATCCTGAATCAACCCCTGTTATATGCGATCCAGATTCATGGCCAGCTCAATCCCTAGACCAGAACCTCATTAGGAATGTGTAGATTGACCCTGGAAATGGATAGATGAGTGATAACTCTGCAAAAAAAAAAAAAAAAAAAAAAAAAAAAAAAAAAAAAAAAAAAAAAATTAACACATACTATCTTTGCACTAGAAATGGAATGCAATCACTTCGCAAACGTTACAGAACTTTTTGACTCCACACACAGACGCGACAGGGGCGTCCTTCAATACAGGTGATAATGTATAAAATACCAAGATATGGCTTGATTTTTTTTACTATAGTTACCTTAATCATTGGTTGTACAATCAGTACATCTTTGTGAGAAAATATCCCTTTAGAAGCTGAATGGAGAACATTGGTTAATGACTTGTTTTTATGTATAACTTTACGGATTGTGTTAGGAGTGACTTTTTTTGCTAGGGGAGTATACATGAATTTATTGTCGTTTAACGAGTCAACGCAAAATGTGTTAGAGAAGCAATTCAGGTGAGGAAATGAGTTCATAGGGCGGGGAGTTTGACATGCGCAGATTGTGCATTGCACAATAGTATAAAAGGAAATGTGAGATGAGCAGATTTCATTCGAGGCTGTTTTCAGCTTGCTGCGTCAGGTCCAAGTAAATCGCTGGTATGTCGAAGAGAAGAAGGGAGTCAACCTCGGAGAGTGAAGATCCGAGAGTGAGAGCAGAGAATTCTTAAATTTGGCAGTAGAAGATAAAGAAGAGGGCAATGAAGGAGCTTTCAATGAGAAAGGTGATGTAAATGATAACAGCTCAGCTGGACAAATGACGGACACATTTTCTGTGTTCAAGTCTTATATGGACAAACAGTTTAAATCACTGAAAAGGGAGCTCGTCGAAGAAAGTCAAAGTCAGAACAAAAAAGCCAAGACAGTACAGAAAAAATTAAAATTTGCGAGAAATCAAAAGCAGTTCGAAATAAATACTGAAGTAATCGAAAATATGCAGAAAGCTGATATGTTGATTAAGGACGGACATGTAAAAGAGGCTCGTAAGGCACTAAAAGAAGGCATTGACATTTTACAAAAGAGAAATAAACTTATAAGAATAGCAGACAAGTCAGAAGCAGGTTGGGAAGCAGTAAAAGAATACGAATCAGATGACCTAGCAGAAGATAGTGATGATAAAAAGAAAATACGGTCTGCACAAATGAGAACCAGTAGAAAAATGCGAATACGAAATCAAAATAAGCGTAACAAAAACGAGTTTAATTACAATAAAAAGAATTATACTGCATCAGTCAATTTTGCAGGTATATCTGATCGAGGAAGCTTTCTTTTTCGAAGAAAAAAATTCCCAAACCCAAACGACCAAATGGGATTTGAAAAAAGGGATTCTTTCAATAATTGATAAAAGAGTGGCAGATTTAAAAATTGATATAATGGATATAATGGAAAATATATCAAACACATCTGCTAGAAGTTTAGCTAGAATTACGGGAAAAATTATATCTTTATATATAGTATTCGGAGATGTAACGAGACTGATGACTAGAAATATGCATCAGGTCATAAATGACAGGAGAAATTGGGATGGTATCGAGGATTTGAAGGACAAGTCAGATTTGCGAAATGAATTAAAATTTTGGTTGTCGAACATTGACGGTCCGTGTATGGGGGGGCAAAGTGATTTCCATTTCGTCAGAAAATGAAAAAACGGCCGTTTTTCAATTTCAATTTATAGAAATGGCCAAAATGTAATGGAAAATGAAACTCAATTTTCGTTTTTCCATTTAAAATGAAAAATGGAAAAACGGAAATTGCCCTCGTTTTTTATATTTTACTATAAAATGCAAAATTCAACATCGACAGATCCCCGATGTGATAGAAAATATACATATCGACCGTTTTCGTATTTTCTAATGTTTAAAAGGTGAAATAGATTACAAAATACCCTTTTATCCTTGTCTTTGAGAAAATAACAGGTTCGAAAAGTGTTCATTATTCAATTTTTGATTCAAATAGAAAAACGGAAGTCCGTTCGTTTTTCTGATTTTCACTTCATGAATGAAAATGGAGAAACGGTCGTGCAGACACACAGACAGAGAAATGGCAGCCGCTGCAAGTTTATAAGTTATTGCTGATTAAATTCTGTCAGATAAAGCTTAAATGCAATGAATTTTAAAATTTTATAGATAATGCAGAATTTGGGGATTTGCTGTTTACGTTGGACTAAAACTTCAACTTAAAGCCATAACAGAAACGAAGATCCATTACAAGTGTGCACAAGAGAGTTCAACTTTGTGCAACAGACAGGTATATTGCAAACAGTGCATGTGCCAGCTGTTTGTGTGCTGAAAATATATTCTAATCAGACTGTTTTAATCCTCTACCCACTGTGAATAACTTTCATGGACAATTAAGTTTTAATAAAGTATTTGGTTATTATCATATTTTTGTTGTTGTTTATTGTAGATCCTCTGATTTGTAGATAATATAGGCCTACCATTTAGCTTCAACGGCACGATTAAAAACTTAAACAATTTGTCTTTGTTCTCATCCTTGATCAGTCTTACTTCTTTAAAAGTCAGTCTTATTGTTTAATGATTTATCGCAGCACGTATTTCCTCTTATTTGAAAGTTTGGTCAGAAAATGCTGATTCAGTTACATGTAGGCCCTATCTACGGTCAAAGGGCCGAAAGGGAGTAGGGGGGCTATCTGTAAGCTAGGGCCAAAATTATTATCGTCTATCCTAGCTGTAAGCAAATTTTTAAGAGAGAAAAACCCACCAAAACGGTTGTCAAAGGCCAGAAAGGCGTCAGGAACATTTTATGATTAAGGGGGGGGGGGGGGGGGG